ATATATTAATTCTTTCAACTGTGATCTCGCGCTAATTCACTCTGTCAGAAATCATGTATCATTCATCTCTGTCTGGAATAGTCTTGTTTCAGTATTAGGGTTTTGACGTCACATCATCGCCTCGTTTTCAGAGGTCCGAAAATCGGGGATCTCAACATTTTTCTATAAAACGTAGGGAGCTCACAGCAAGAAACGGTTTGCGGTGGTGAGCTAGTTTGGTTGAGTTCTATCGAATTATGAAATGAAAATATTTTGTGATATAGGCCCATTGATGACGTTGGTAATCAAATGGAATACAGGATGTTTTCATTATTTAATCTTGGATTTACCATTTTCATTTTCTGATTTCAGTAGTGAATATACCTTGTTCTATCTATATCAACTCAACAGGAAGCAATGCTACTGTCTCCGTTCAGAAGAATACAAGCAGATTCCTTGATTTTTCTCTTCTGATTGTTATCTTCTCTCCCAATGATTTAAATATTATTCCTTTTGATTGCCATCGTCGCCAACGTAGACCTTTAAATAGGTACTTTTTCTGCTGAAACAGAAAAAAATTTCATCGGCACGTTCAAAATAAAATACGTGAAATCGACTTTTGCTAATTATTCTCCTGGAGAAAGAAAAATAAATTCATCATTTTTGTTCACATAAAAAAAACACATTTCCTTGATGAAAACATCTCGACCTAAGCCCGATTGACATTCTCAGCACCTTCTACCGTCAAGTCGACTAATTAATCACCCTAATCTCCTTTCTTATACGAGATCCGAACGTTATTCTGATGTTTTTTCCGTCGTTTGCCGCGGGAAAAGATGCGTCCGTTGCCATGGAGACGCGAAACACATGAGAAGAGGGTGTACCGGTCACAGAATCTGCTATTATAGGGAAAGATAACTCTCTGAATTCCGTATTCTATTTTAAATTGAACCGGATCATTATGCTGTAGTCCCTTTGAAGTGTTGTAAATGTTATGCAACACTAACATAAGAGAACAGGAAAAAAGGAGGGTATTTCGAGTCGAAATAGCACACAGCATATATACGAGGTGTTTTTGAAATAAGTTCATATATGAGTATATGTCTCACTTCTAATGGAATAATGGAAGAATCTCACGTAGTTGTTGTGGGAGATACCAAAAATACACACTTTGACCGTTGATTGATATATTACGCTTCAAGCGTAATATATCAATCAACGCTTTGACCAAGTGGTCTTATCTTCAGTGAAATACACTGCTCACCAACAGCCATGGAACGACCTACATTTACGGAAAATGAAATAGGAGACAAAATAAGTTGAAAATCACTTCGGATTCGAAATCAAGACGTCCAATTCACTAACTATTCGTAATTTTCCTGAAACATATTCAGTTCGGAAAGTTTGATTCTGTCTCACTTTTAATGGAAGCACCCCCGTATCTCACGTAATTATTGAGGTAGGATTTTGAAATTTGCAAAAACAAGGAAAAGTCCTGAGATACAGTCACTGACCAACTAAAATATCATCACTGATATACACTGATAGCTAGCCAGCAGCCATTCATTGGGTATTAGTTCCAAGTTAGGAATAAACAACCTCTTTTAGAAAAAGTGGTTTCAAAGTTTTTTTTCTGCCGAAATCAGAGCTCTGGAGATTTTGAAAATATGAAATGGGAATGCTGATTCTGAATCTGATAGAGAGAGAGAGTTATCTTATCAAATAATCAATAAGCCCAAATATCCTTTTTCCAAAGAAGGCTTTCTACCCTCTTCAACACCGCACGCCAATGGTTGATGAAAATGTTCACTATGCCAAGTACTTCATTTTTCTAACATACAATCACCATCGACATTTCAAGAAAATCGCATCATTGATTTTTTGGGCCTGGCGGAGACTGACACTTGCCGCTTTTGTAACAATGCGACCGAAACCGCGGAACACATACTTTGCTCATGTGAAGTATTAGTCCGCCAAAGGCTGAACCACCTAGAACAGGTCTATCTCACCCCTGCTGAAGTGGAAAATTCAGCCGTCAGGAAAATGGTAGGCTTCATCAGAAGTCTAGGGTTAGAGGACCAAAACTAGATCGGCGTAATCACAATAGATCTTCTAGGTCGCAGTGATCGAACGGTCTCCCAGCCTATATGACCCATCTACAATCTACAATCTATATATATACAGGGTGAAATTGGAATTATAGTGCGAATATTTCAAACACTGAGAAAGCTCGACGAGTACTATCGAATGGCACTAATAAAAAAAATTTAGGGATATAAAATTCACCTCTGTTCTAATATCCATGCAGTAGGCACAATCACGCGAGTTCAATCATTTAAATTGTGGCGTACTTGATTTTTTTTTCATATTTTCTTCAGTTTTTGGGATGAAGTTTCTCCTTGATTAAAAGAATTAGAAAATATCGGATATCATGGGAATATTCCATAGACTATATCATATTTTAATGATGTGCTGAATATGTGCACTTATTTCAAAAACACCATATGTATATATGTATATCCATTTTTTCATGTTCATAATATGTCTGAGATTATTCCTTTTCAATACTTTCATATCCACACAAGGGTTCAAACTTGTACGATGGAAACTTATTTTTTTTATAGACCTCTATTATAATAATCGCAGATTCGTGATTGGGTTTTCTGAATTCAAAATTTCTTTCCACGTCTTGTATGATGAAGATCAATTTGTTATACATCCAAAGAAGAATTATGGGGTTTTGAGGATGCTGATTTCGAATCTGATAAAATTCCCCGAATAAAGCTCTATTATATTTACACCCCTCAACATCGCACGCCAATGGTGAATAAAAATGTTCACTATGCCAAATACTTTATTGTTCTAACTTCTAATATACAATCACCGCCAAAATCTCAAGATGAATAATTGACATTACGTATATCAGAGCAGGACGGTGAGATAGAGTAGGCCCTGGATGTATTCATGAAAAGTGTGAAACACGACTGTAAACCACCTATGTGAGATCACCTATGTTGACTTCTGATAGAAACAATGCTTTCAGACCAGATTCTTTCAGCTGAATTCCTTTCTTCAAATTGGTGATAAAACATGGATTTCATTAAGGTCCCAAATCGGTAGACGATTGTCACGACCTCGTAGATACCTATAGGTATATTTTTTAATGGATTTTTTGCTAAACATGCTATGCACGAAAATCTCTAATCTACTTAATTGAAATTCCGTAGATTTATAATTATTGTAAATAAGCACTGGAGCCAAAGAGCTGTCGTTTCTTTATCTCGTTTATTTCTTTCCCGACACTCCAACTCTGATAATAATTTGTCTCCGAAATGAGAGGGATTATATGCTTTGTTTTTTAAATAGGATGCAGATATCTCTAGCAGTCGGGTGATGAATAGACTCGACGTGCAAATTTTTCCTCAATTAAAAATAAACAGATATACAGGGCCGTGTTCCTAAATGTCATGTAATGTCTGTATTGAAGGCTCATTTGAGGACTGAAAGTTTCTACAAACATACAGGGTATCTATCTGAAAGGTCTGTACAAAAGCTCAGCAATATCCTGAGGTCAAAATAAGCCGATTCAAGTCTACTTGTTACCTCAGTCTGAAATTACTCTGTTTCCGAAATACAGGGTGTTGAAGAGTAAATATCGAATTTCTCAGAATTTATGAACATTTTTCAACGTATTACTTCAGAAATCGATATCCAAGGGTTTTTTTTGATGCGAAACACGAATAAGGATACCTAGCTTTTCACTGGGGCCATCAGAGGGCGCCTACCAATACCGTTTTCGAGATATTTCGGTTTTTAATGTTCGATGCCGCACCGGAATATTTGAATTATTTCTAAAAAGAAAACGTTTGCTGTAATCTTCGTGGATGTAGTTTGAATGAGCAGTGCACAAATGGATTTTTCGAAATACTTTTCTGGAGTGTGTACTTGTCGGTTTTATTTTTTAATATAATAGCTATAAAATTCGGAAATGATTCTTTATTGATGCTCGCGCTTTTTTGTAGAAAACACACAATAAAATATACCCCTAATGGCACCACTGGAAATCAGATTGGCCAAATATTATCACTATTTCATTTGCCCTCAGTGTCACACTAATTCAATGGATTATTATTTTCGATTTTTATTCAACGGTAGATTGAAAGATCCTAATATTTTGTATCAAATTCAACACACCCTGTAGGTAACTTGAAAACATTGAATTAGGAACTTTTAGTACTAAAATAAGCCAAGGAATTACAGCTCCTTCAATATATATATGACACTTATACACCCTGTATGTATTTTTTTGCGTGCATATACAAAAATGCTTCTCTTAAACAAAATTGCGCAGGAGGGATTTATACTGATGAATAGTCACTGATTGGCTCACTTAAAGCATTTTTCTAACCCGCTTTTAGTCAACTCATAGTGTGCCATTGTGTATTGTTGGTTGCCGACATTATTCAAGAAGATACCCGTTGAATATCAGCTCTACCAACCTTGGTGTAAATTCCCTGTATGATCTAAGGGTAGACGTGATGTCAATGCTGTCATTACTGTCATATTTGGAAGTAATAGGTTATGTTTATGTAAGTTATGTTATTGTTATTTTGAATATTTTGAAAGATGTTGAAACTGTTATAAACTTATTTTATATATTATTATTTACTTCCCTATAAATTCATCATTCATCTACTATTCTACTCTCGTTATAGCACTGTTCTTCAACATATCAACCCTTGCTAATATCTATCCAATCTCTAGTTTCAAGCTACAAATTATTCAAATGAATTAATTTGATGTTTGATGTTTATGGAAAGTTTTTCTATTCTGGTCATGATGTGTTGATTTGTTTATCGATTCTTATCTTCTGTTTTGCTTCAATGAATTTGAATTCTTTGCTTGCACTAGTCCACCAGAGGTACCTAGGTTGAAAGTGAGATTTTGATATAATAATAAATCCTAGGCCACAGAGTCCAGCCAAGTCATCTAGCAGGTATCATTTCATTAGTACTGAATTAATGTTCTTGCCATGGCTGATACAAGAATCAAATATGGACCTCTCATAGGATCTATTGACGAGGGTACTTCAAGTACAAGATTTCTGGTAAGTAATCACATTCATCACCTTCCTACAACTCCAGTTAATATGTTTTCAGGTATTTGCATCTAAAACTGCTGAAGTCCTAACCTACCACCAGCTGCCTATCCCATCAATTGTACCAAAGGAAGGATGGTTTGAGCAAGATCCCATGATGATTTTAGAAGCAGTCAAAGAAACAATAGATGTTACTTGTGACAATTTGATCAAACTAAACATAAATTATGAGGATATTGTAGCTATTGGAATTACAAACCAAAGAGAAACAACTATTTTGTGGGATCCTACAACAGGAAAGCCTTTATACAATGCCATAGGTATGTCTAGAGAAAACCAGAAAATGTCAGAGCTATTTCCCTGGCTTTTTCAGTGTGGATGGATGTCAGAACCTCCAGCACAGTTGATGACATTCTGGAAAATGGCAAGCACCCACAAGATTTCCTTCAGTGCCTTTGTGGACTCCCAGTCAGTACCTATTTCAGTGCACTCAAAATCAGGTGGTTGATGGACAATGTACAAGGTGTGAAAGAGGCTATAGAACAAGGCCGTTGTCTGTTTGGCAATGTTGATACTTGGCTTGTATGGGTGAGTTTATTTGAAATTAGAAACTAATTTCAGCCTTAAATATTGATATTCTTCTAGAATCTCACTGGTGGTGTACAAGGTGGTTTACACATAACTGATGTTACAAATGCTTCAAGAACAATGCTAATGAATATTGATACTTTGAAGTGGGATCCAAACCTCTGCAAAGTTTTCAATATTCCTATGAATATACTCCCTCAAATAAGAAGCTCCTCAGAAATATATGGCTACATTTTTGATGTTACTAAATTGTCAGGAGTACCAATAGCAGGGGTACTTAACAAATATCTCATTCTTCTTATTGTAAACATTTTTAAAAATTTTTTTAGATTTTAGGTGATCAGCAAGCAGCACTGGTAGGCCAAATGTCCTTTGAAATGGGCCAAGCAAAAAGTACTTATGGCACTGGTTGTTTCATTTTGTACAATACTGGGACACTTGTAGGTACTCTGAAAGACATGGGAAACAGTTTTTCAGCATAAACGGTTTTTTTGTTTTAGACTGTCAGGTCTACTCATGGACTATTAACTACTGTTGCTTATCAACTAGGACCAGATAAAAAAGCTGTGTATGCCTTGGAAGGATCAGTGGCAATAGCTGGTAAGGGGAAAAATTCTTGATTGGTTAAAAAATTATTGTTCTATTCATTTTTTACAGAAATACATTGAAAATATAAAATTTGTATTCATTCATGATATTTGAAAAACAACTGTTGAATACCCTCATTATAAACAACAATGTTTTTGGGTAAAGTACATTTTTTGAAGTCCACATTTTTTAAATAATTTCCTGGAAAATTCATTCATGTTTTTAATTATCAAAAATGTTCTTTCACCACTAACATTTCAATCATTTCAGAAATATTCAACCTCATTTTCTCAGGGGTAAAATGGGCTTACTATTCTTTTATTGAAACAGTACTCCATGAATTTATGCATAGAAAAACCAGTTTTTCTTGAATAATTTTTATTTTGACATGAAATTAATCTTCATTGTAGGAATTTCAATAAAATGGCTTAGAGATAACCTCAATGTATTGAATGATGTATCTGAATCTGCTGAAATGGCTCAAGCTGCTAATGAACATGGAGAAGTTTATTTTGTACCAGCTTTTTCAGGGTTGTATGCACCCTATTGGAGAAAAGATGCAAGAAGGTAAACACGCACATTGGTGATTGAAAGATATATTGATTACAGTTTGCAGTAAAATTGTAGAATTAAATTAATTTTTCAGAATGGTACTTTTGAAAAAACAGTTATAAAGGGATATTTATAGTTATTTATTTTGGGTTTCACAGAAATCACTCAAAGTATGAATGGTTTAATTGAGAAATTCTGTACAGGGTGATTCACCATAAATGTCCCCCCCTCTAGCTCACTTATTTTTGAACCGTTTTAAGAATTTGAAAAATAATCTAAAATGATTTTTCTGAATTTTTTTTCCCGTTGCATCAGAAAATACAGGGTGCTCGGAACAAACGATCTACAGAGTACTAATTGATTTTTTAAAATGGAACACCCTGTATTTTATTGTATTTTTAGATTCTTTCTGAAGAGCTGATTTCATCAATGTATCACACTTGGGGTTTAGCGGGAATGATTACAGAGATATAGGGTGTTTAAAATCGAGATTTTCCAACTTTAGGATTTTTTTGTGCCGAAACTATTCATTATTGGTCAAAACGGCTTCTATGTTCCCATCTCAACTTTTGATTTACTATCTAGTGAAATTTAATTGGAACATTTACAGGGTGGTTCAAGATTCAGAATTCTGGTCACCCTGTATCTGTTCCAATTATTAAATGTCAGTAGATAGTAAATCAAAAGTTAAGAGACGGACATGAAAACCGCGTGACCGATAATGAATAGTTTCGTCACAAAAAAATCCTAAAGTTAAAAATCTCGATTTTAAACACCCTATATCTCTGTAATCAGTCCCGCTAGACACCAAGTGTGATACATTGATCAAATCAGCTCTTCAGGGAGAATCTAAAAATACAATGAAAAATAGGGTGTCTCATTTAAAGAAATCAAATACTACCCTGTAGATCGTTTGTTCCGAGCACCCTGTATTTTCTGATCTAGCGAAAAAAAACTTTATCGAAAATCATTCAAGATGATATTCCAAATTTTAAAATCGGTTAAAAAATAACTGAGCTAGAGGGGGGGACATTTATGGTAAATCACCCTGTACATTGACATGACATGGGTTTGAGAATGTTTATCTAGAGTCAGTTAACAACAAAAGGCATAATGCAGATTTCACACACCTGAAAAAATGTGACCTGTCAATAAAATTGTAGAATTCTTGAAATAAATTTGCTATAGAAAAAAATAAGGATGAAATTACATTACTGGAGTGCAATAGAACCATGGGTATATAATCTAAGAACCAGACAATTTGAATGTCCATAGGAATAATTTAGAGAATGGTGGGAATAAATAATAATAATTGAAATGCTGTATTGGTTACCCAATAGGTAACTGACCGGAGTCCTTCAGCAATGCATTGACATGTGACATCTATTATATTTCATTTGTTTTGTTGTATAATATACATGTATAATCATATTTTTGTGAATCATTGTTGGATGCAGGTAACAAAAATTATAGATTGATAGTTTCCTGTGAGGTTTCCTGGCATTTCTGCTATATGGTGATGCATTCCTTGTTTACTGGGAACTTGTATCTTGCTATCTCTGTAGGGTCTTTTCAAATGGACTGGGTTTGAATGATTTGCAAGTTAGTTTCGTTGTTGGAAAACTTCTGTGCTAATTTTCCCAGCCTCTCGCTAATTGATTGTACCTGTTGTACTTTTTTGAACATTTCTAAATCCGCAGAAATGCGGAAGAAACAGAATATTGAAAACATCTTTATTTCACATCCTGTATAAAGAAGGTCGTAAACTCCAAAACCAAAATATTTGAGAAATATGATTTGCAGAAGGATGAAAACATTCCTGGGGAATACAGGAGGTCTGAACTTTTTCGATTATTTAACGCTATTTTGGACCACTTGGTATCTCATCACTGAAACACACGTTGAAGTTTTAAACAATGAATCCCAAATAAAAAAATAGGACGCATACTTTGAACACTGTATTCCGATAGAAAATCAGTTAATTTTCAAAAAAGTGCTCGCAACTCTGAGGTCCCGTTTCTTAAATAGAATAATCACTCAAATACCTTTCAATTTCATATTTTTTGGGAATTTTTCGGTCGATTTACGATAATTACAATGTGTTGAAATACGATTGGGAACTTCAGAAATAATAGTTATTCAATTCAATAATTCTCAAATTCGCAATCAAGTATTGGTAATATTCCTAATCAGCAGTAAAAATGCAATTGTCTCAAAATGTTCCCTTATGATTGGCGGCTTATTGCTTGTAATAAATTTGTGTGAATAATAACTATATTAATTCACACTAGAGGACATTTGAATCGGTGAACGTGACAACAGCGCACGAATTGTGGGCGTGGTCTTGTCAGTTCTTAGCATTCAGCACAATGTTGCCAAGTCTCCAACATTCAAATGATATTTTGTTGTAGAGAATCAGAAATATTTCGACATGTTGGTTGCTCAAAAAAGTCAAGGATGAACTATAATATCATGATGGGTTCCTCCTATAATGTTTTATTCAACGACAGGTCATCAACATCTCTTTGATAACTTGATTATAATTGGTGACTTGACAACCTTGCTTCATGAGTGGAAATGGAAGATTATCTAACCAATAACTAAACAGCATAAAAACTGTCGTCACCATTTATTCGACGTATCGCCAAATGGCGGCCATGACGGTTCGTTTGAAATGAGCTCTGAAATTCAACAATTTCGAACAAGGCATAGACATAGACACATTATTTACGTAAAAAAAGCATGAGAAAAGTGTTGCGAAAATCAATTTAGGTTCCTGACGACACAGAGAAATTGAATGCCAATAATGGGGAAGTTTCCTTCAGATGAATTTTCATACAATAAGTTCGGAACAGTTTTATGTCCACGCTGTACAGAATGCCGAGCGATAAAGTCCAAATCGTTTTCATTTTCAAATTAAAGCAATTTCTAATTTTCGGAGCGGCAAACTGGAATCTAGTCTGAAAATAGCTGGTGGTGAAGAATATATCTAGCAAATAGCTAACGAATGAAAAAAATAGACGTAGATGTAAAACTTGAACAAAAATGCAGGCATGCAGAAGGTAGTTGGCTTCATTCTGACAGGTTATGGTTTTGTTATTTATGCATTGAAATATCTCGAATAGAGCTCGATCCTAAACGAAAATGTCATTGCATCAATGAATCACTATCGGCTACATTCAATGATAATATCCTTCCTAATTTACTGTCATCGGTCAGAACAGAATGAAGCCGACACCCATGGCTCCTTCCTCTTGTTGTGCCTGTCAGTATTTTGAGTGGTGTGGACGGACTCGAAGTATTAGGCGCTGTTGCAAGATAGAATATGTGCAACTTTCCTAGAAAATAGATCCGTTTTATCTGGTTTTATTAAGGAACGAATTCATTAGCAGAAAAATGACTGACAAGTTATGAATAACTTATTGTAATATAACGATAGTGAAAAATTATAGATACTATCGCAAAATATCATAATTCATCTTCATTAGTAATCAACTTCATTCAGCCAATGAGAGATTTATGGGAATTATTCATAATACTTGACAAAGTAGGATTGAAGAACCTATTATATCCCATTGCTACTATGATATAGTTATTATGCATTCAAAGAACAATTTCCGGAAATCTAGACATATTGATGATGTCGGCAACGTCGTACTGGCACAGGTAATCGTATTTTAACTCTGTGTGAATGTGGATTTTCAGGAATGGTGGAGGAGCCAAGTTCCTCTACAATTTATTTTTTCTGAAATGAAATTTGATCTTACGAAAAAAGAAAAAATACGTATATATTAATTTTTTACAAACTTCACAGTGAGATAAAAACCTTAATATAGGAAACTTCCCCATTCATTATCAGTCCAGTCGCCCATTACGATAATTTTTAGCGTTATTTGCGGTTTGACGGAAGAAACCAAACCCGGCCATTTGGTGAAAGCAGCTCTGGAAGCTGTCTGCTTTCAAGTGAGAGACGTCTTGGAAGCCATGACCCTAGATTGCGGTCATCCTTTGACCAAACTCTTGGTGGACGGTGGCATGACGGTCAATGATTATTTGATGCAGATGCAGGCAGACTATTGTGGAATACCTGTCGGTGAGTTTACAATCGATAAGCGATATAATCATAAATTATTATACAAAAACAATCCTTAACGCTTAACAATCTTAACATGGATAAATGAATGGAATCACGAATAGTGGGGATATTTTCAGTAAACACGCCTTTCAAGGCCGTCACTGAACATACTTGTGATTTGACACTCTGACACTGCCTATCGAACCATGTTTATTCACATAATACTCTGCTTCAGATTTTTAATATTAAATGAGTTATGTACTGTAACACCGGAAACTGATCACACAATAGCCGGAAAACCATTAATAACAACAAAAACGACACAAACTTTGTGGTGTCGCCATGTTCATCTTCAAATAATTCATAATGTTTATTTTATTATGTACCTGCTTACAATAACTAAGTTCATAATCATAAGTAGTGAATTTCTGACCCTTATTGTGTTAGGGGTGTATTATTATGTTGTAAAGGAAGTTCGATTTTTTGTCATAAGCTATTTTTACCGAGTTGAATGAGATGATCTATCGGAAAAATCTTCTTGAATTATTGATTGGCAGCGGTTCCATAGAGGTCTGCAGAAGAAATGAGCAAAATAAATTACCCTTTTTAACATTCAGAGGAATGTTCTGAGGAGAAAACAGTTTCAATCACACCAATTGAAATAAACATTTCATGTGAAATGAAATGAGCAAACTTTCATGAATAACCAAACAATAATGATTCAAGATAATCTACTGAAGAATTCAATCTTGTAAAAAATCACAAGGACCACTCAACTTCCAATAGACATGCATGGAAACCTGAATATAAACAAAAACTTAATGAACCTACTTGAATATCCACAAGAGGACGGCTCGCTTCTTTTGAATTGCTTAATATGTTTGATTTTCTTTTAGTTAGGCCAATGATGGCCGAAACCACATCTCTTGGAGCAGCGATTGCCGCAGGCAATGCCAAAGGGGTTGAAGTGTGGGACATAGAAAGTATGGAGGCCGTTCCTTGTGACACTTTTGTTCCCGTCATAAAAGAAGATGGTAATACTGGTTCATTTTCTAGGTCAACAGCTCTAACCTAATTGTTTTTTTTTTTTATTCAGCTAGGGATGTTAAATATTCGAGATGGAAAATGGCGATAAAAAGAAGTCTTGGATGGGTAGAAGACGATAATTCTAAGGCTGGTTTAGGTGAGCGTTACTTTCCATACAACACAATATAATGACCTACCTATCTGACTGTATTTTTGAATGCATATAACGCAACAGAGATGGGACATTTTGCATGTAGAGTGAAAAATTTCGTTCATATTTACTTTTATTTTTAGCCCAGTTCTGAGCAGCAACCCTTAGGTGCATACAGCACAAGCAGCAAGGGTGCCAAATTGAGAGGGCGCCCAGTATTACTCAAATTATTTTACTATTCGATAGTCTTATATGAAAAAAATAGAAAATTAAGAGATGAAATGATAAAATAAAAGAACCTAAGTATAAGGTGCTTACATACTTTCCAAAATACTCTATCAAATAAAGGCCCTCATTTTTGTGTTGGGGGTTGGAAAAATCGCATCAGGAAGTGAAACCTACATTTTTCAGTGTTCAAATAAGTGTTTATTTCTTCAATATATTCAATCGCTTCCTCAATTTTACGTTAGCATAACACAACAATAATATTTTTATATTCTGCCATATTTCATGAGCTGTCTTGAGCAATTTTATAATATTCCTCAACTGTTTTATCATTAATTTTTTTAATCGCTAAAATAGACTAGGACTGGTCTTTATCATGTTGTATCAAGTACCTACTTGAATAATTATTAGGATTCCTAAGAATTTGAGTAATCTAGTACCAGTTCATGAATGATATGATTTTTAAGGGATTAGTGTGGTGAAAGTTGATACTTTGAGATAAAACAGTTTGTTGTGTTCATACTAACTTATCCATAGTTTTCTCTAAATTAGGTACGCCAAACACGGATAAATGAATAATTTTTCGAATGGTGGGGATAATTCTGCGGAACTATTTCCAGAGAACTGATAGTCTTCATAGATATATTTCATTTTCATATATTAAATGGATCGGGATATTTATAAATGTGTAGATGTGAATTAATAAATTAACTCTCATGTATTGTAGCTTAATAATACGTTATTTTGTAACGTCTAAGGGAAGTTATTCCAAATATTCAATATTAAAAACACGCTTTTCATCAACAAAAGCAAGGCCTCAAACCGCCACTGTACCAAATTTCTACGTATCTATGAAATATCAGGTTAGGATAATTTTAACCAACTTTTCTCTACTGATTTGACACTGCAAAACCATATTTATTCACAAAATAGTTTGATATAGATTAATAATGTTAAATGGGTTACTGAAACAGCGAAAACTGATCACACAACAACCGAAAAACTATTAATAATAACAAAAACGACAAATAACAGTTCTCACTACGATTATTTTTCGTCTACTACGAAAGTTTTCGGTTCCGCCACGTTTATCTTTATTTTTTTTTTTTTTATTATGTTGTGTACCTCACAAAAACTAAAGAGTTTATGTACAATTATTAGTAGTGAATTTCTAACTTTATTGGCTGTATTATTATGTTATACTGTTGTTCCATTTTTAGCCCTAGGCAATTTATGACGAGTCGAATGAGATATTTTATTCGGAAAATATTGTCGAATTGTCGATTTGGCAGCGATGCCACAGAGGTCTTTAGAATGTGATGCTTTTCGCGCAGGAGAAAAGAAGCATAAAAATCACTTTATTTATTAATCATGGTAGAAATATTGTATTTTCACCATGTATTCAACTAGTTACTCTAAGGATACAACTATTGAGGTCTTATTTCCCCAATTCCTATCAACGCATTCTGAAGTTTGCCCAAAAATAAGGTTATATTGTAGGCGTCATAATTATGTTATTACATTGAATGGAAAATTTTCCTCATTCCTCTCTTGGATCATTGTGTTGGAGTGGATCATTTATTTTCTTGTCTTTTTGGCAGACTTGCCACGCTTGGTAGAGGGTGCAGAACAAATGATATCAGGTACAGTTCATAACACAGGAATGCTTCATTTGCATACTAATATTTATTGCACTTTTTATTCCTCCATTACACTGTCATCATAATGAAAAACGGATTTCTGATCAGTTGATAGGTCGATGATGTTCATTAAATTACAAGAGGTAATAATGCAAATTAAGATATCGGAATTGGTATCATTGAATCTCTAATTGAATCCAGAGTGACTGGACATTTTTCCATAGTGCTGTCTAATTCTGCATATTATCAACTTAGCAAATTTCAAATATAATTGAGAAGTCATTTATTTTTCTGATACCGTAATGATTGTCTATCAGGACAGTTGCATTACTTACCCCTTATAATATTTTGTTTTATCTGAACTCATCTAACTCAGATCCATATTCAGAGTGCCATTTGAATTCATTATTATATTGTCTTGACCTTGATTGGAGGTGTGGACGATATGTAAGCATATGGCAACGGTACCATTTCTTGTTTGCTATGATTGTAATTCAAAATATTCAACTTCAAATTTGGCACTCTGTCTTTGGATCGAAATAGTATTTCAATTGATGAGAGCTACAGGTATTCGATTTTTTTTTCTAGGAAGTAGAATAGCGAAAGCTTTTCCAGCGGGGATGTATCTTATCGGCACTGCAGCTATGCTAATGGCTTCGGAAATATTGAAGGGGCCATGAGGTTCTGCTGTATCCTAATGGTGGTATGACGTTGCATCACGATGATAAAGTACGCAAAGATTCAAGGTTTTTCTATTCCTGCAATTAATGCTTTCGTTTGAATAGGACGAAAAACCGCCAGCAATACGACGTTTCAAGTACTACAGGGTCTCTATGAATGATGATAGCATCGTAGTGACCATCAAAATATTTTATTGATTTGTCGCTTTCCACTTATGGAAATCGAACTATAACACGGTCGTTTAAATGCATGGCAACAAAATAAGCAGAACACTATTACAACAGCCACTACGATTCTACGATAATTTGTAGAAACCCTGTATACCTGTGGCCTCGAGAACCGGCCCGCTCCTGTAACTTCTGAGATAGAATTATGCAATTTGGAGATTTCAAATAACATCTTATTTCGCATTCGCTGATGGTTCTTATCCATCTAATAAAATTGTTTTTATCCATCATTCGGATGCCCCCTTACGAGCAACTCTCAGAAGGCTTCAAGAGACTTGTGCGAGCAAGGAATAACGGGGGTCTTACCTTTTAACGTGTGGTCCGAAACACTCCACACTGATACAATTACACATTTCGAATTACTTTTGGTTTCAGCAGAAATGACCTCAACTTTCGATTCGATAGTCATACGGTACCTGTCATTTTTCATAATATGTCTGGATATGATTGCCACTTTCTCATAAGAAATTTGAGTACTGAAATCGAAGGTAAGGTGTCTATATTGCCTGTGAACAAAGAAAAATATATTTCTTTCACTAAATATATCGATGGGTCAGGAATTAATTTGAGATTTCTCGACTCCTTCAGATTCATGGCTAGCAGTTTGGATACCTTATAAACGATACTGTCATAATGATGCGGAATTTAGTTTGCTCACACTTAAAGGTATTTGTCCTTATGATTATTAAGACTCTTAGGAAAAATTAGAAGAAACCAGTTTAGCAATAAAGAAACGATGTTACAACAAATTAACAGGCAATAGGGTATCCTGTATGCTGTATATTTAGACATTTTTGGATTCAGGATTCATATTCAGTTTTTTTATTTTTACAGAAAGACATCATAGCTGTTATAAGCTTATCAGGTGCCATGCAAAGATATGAATATTGAACTCTCAGAATGTTGGAACTAGTGTATATTTTATATGCTATGATATTTTTCAGTCATTCGTATCATTGCTCACAACAAGTACGTTGCTTGGTACCTGTCTTTATCATAATCTCTCTGTTTTAGAATTTATTTTGATTTTATACATTATGTATTAGATACGATTCCAATAATGAAATCAAATATTGACGCTTAGAAAATTTTCACCCGGAAATTATTCAACTGTACGTAATATGATCTCCTTAATCGAAAAATGCGAAAATATACATCAGGGTGTCCCATTTGAAAATCGAAAGGTAAGATCATTTTCGGTGACACCGGAAGTACCTCGAAAAGCATAATCATATCAGTTATATGTGTTGATGTTATATGAACCCTTCAAATTTCAAAATTTCATCTCGAACGATTCAAAAGTAACAGGGGCGGCCCGGAATTAAACTAACAACTATGAACTTAAAAAGTTGAATACAAGAAAACAACTATGAGGGTTTATACATTTACATCTGTCATTTAAATTAAGGATTAGGAATGACAAAGTTGACCAACTTTCAACTTAACAACTAAGAATTAGGGAATTCTGGAGACAGAACATAAAGATTGGAATTTTTATTGTTCAAGTGGAGTTTGGTGATTCATGAATTGTGTAGACTAAAATCACTTTATAACATCATTTTGATCTTTAATCAAAAGACATTCAACATTTAATTCCCTATTAATATCAGATATGTATAAATACCCCAGATAAAATTACACTCGTCAGCTCTTAAGAAATATTTACTTGATATTTCGTTGAAATAGAACAGCTCAACACAGGAACAGTGTTTATGACGTCAGTACTGGCTGGATTCCATATCAAATTGTGGGGTATTCAATTGTGTCTTTTAAAGTATAACAACATGATTGTCTTGTCATAAAAACGATTCATACATTTTATATTACGATTATATTAAAATTTGTGGCATATTTAAATTGAATTTGATCGTTCGTGTTCTTGCCAATTGTTAAATTCCTAATTGCAGGTACTCCATACTATATTGTAAAGAGTGAGGTAAGGTGGTATTAGTGGGACACACTTTTTAATGCAGCTTTCTAATCAACTCTGGTATTTTCGCCTGAATACTCGTAAATCTTTTGGAGCGCACGAAAGGGAATCAGTTTAATGTTCGGGGAACTAGAATCATCCTCCAAGGTAATAAAACAAAGCAGGCACTTGAAACTTATACTTTTGAAATAATGAGGTTATTGCGGTACTATACTTATAAGGAAGTCTATATTTCCAAATTAAATTGTGTTTTCTTAGTGAGAGTTTATGGGTGTGCCAAATTAAAAGTTTTGTTAAAGGTTCGTTTCCTGTGGCATAGCATGCTAGGTTTTTTTGCCCACTATATCACCTTATCTTGTTCGCCTAGTTACGTATCCATTCAATTTCCAAAGATGAGAACGTGAGAAAAATGTGATTCATAATGTGCATATAATCTTGATCAACTTAATTTTGCAGAAAAGGCTGTTATTTTTTATTTTTAATGTATTTATAACTCCGCTTTTGAAACAGAGATAATGAATTCAATGTTGGTAGAGAGAGATAAAAACAATCTGATTATTGGAAGAGACTGATTATTTTTCTAGTTATTATTGTGAATTGAAATAATAGTGAGAACTAGAATGATTGCAGTAGTACCTATAGCCTATAGTTCTTATATTTTTTTTATCAGGGTAGAACTTTACCAAATAATTTTGTGAAGTTTGCAGTGTGCTGTGACTGTGATTTTTATTTATCATTATGGATAGTGATGACTTGTTGAATTCAATTGATGTAAATAAAAGCAATTAAATGTGTTTCACTCTTAAGTAATCAATTTTGGGTCTGAAAAATGTGTATACAGGGGTCCCTTATAGGTCTGTACAAAACCTTAGCAACTAGTCCTGAGATCGAAATAAGTAGCCTAAAGAAACTTACCTCAATCCGACATCGCTCCGTTTCCGAGATACAGGGTGGTAAATTTAAAAATAAAAATACCAATTGACATTCACGAAGATAACAGCAGACATTTTTATTCAAATTAATTTAAATATATTTCGGATCGGTATCAAACAACAAAAACCGAAATATCACGAAAACAGCTTACTTAGACGAATTTTCCCAGGTGTACCTTGCTTGCTTGAATACATTCAGAAAATCATTTTCTCAACAAAAAATTTTAAAAACTACACTGAGAAAAAATTTATGGCCATACTAAACCATAAGAAGTGAAATGATGTCTGTGTCTGGTTTCTCATCCCAAAAAGCCTACGGCTAAAAATTTTTTAAGAGACGTTCAAAAATGTTCATACATTTTGAAAACATCCGATTTTTATTTTTTCACTTTACAGAAAGAACTGAACAAACGGAATAAAACTTAATTCAAGAGAACTGTGAAGATTGCATTCAAAGTTGGTACAGACCCGGAATCATTACATTAATTTATGTCAGAAAAACGAAGAAGAGATTTGTAGAAAAATAGCAAAAAATTGGAAAAACTATTGGCATACCTATATATTTTTTGATTCTCAAGACCAAAATTATAATTAATAATTCTCAAAATACGGACGTGGATTATTAACCGCAATATTTTGAGATTCAAATAAATTCTTATCCTGGTGCTTGGTCTGTTACCTATAGCATAGATTAACGAGTTAATTTATGCCTATAGGGTACCATTTCATTTTCATCAAAAGTCCATCAAGAAGCGAACGCAATAAACTCCAAATTCCTGTTTTTCCGCAAAAGTAATCCCCTAAGCAAACAAGCACCTCCCGAAATTTATTACAGAGAATTAAACAGATCTTCCCCAGCCTCCCGGCAGATGCCGTCTCTCATTTCATCTCATAAAGAACGCAAAAATCGATATCAACATTCCCTCTCTCTCCCACCCACATCCTGGACATCTCCTCTCTCTCTCGATTTTGGCCAGCGCACACCAAGATACTATGGGTTGTACCGAAGATATTTTTACTCTGGTCCGCTGATTGCAATTTTAAAATTAAAGACTGTGGGACGGAGTCAGCGAGAAAATCGAGCGTGCCGCGGAAGTGGAGTGTCGGTCCAGATTCGTCGTTGTTTCTTGGTGACTGGATTTGTCGCAGCCTCCTAGGATATCGCAGAATCCCGGCACGTATCGTATGATTCGTATGGCGTAAGATCAACCCTCTGGGGGTGAGAGAATTTCGGGATTTGGACGTTGACCTGGTGAGTGAACCTTGTGTGCGTTGGAAAATTGGAAAATTTTTGCGTCGGTGATTTTTTGAATGATTATTTCGAGATTTCGATTTTTACGGTTCAGATGTCAAGATTTATCATGTCCATCTATATGAATGCAGTGGGATTGTTTTAACTGGTTCCAAGAAACGATGAAACTGAAATTCGAATGGACAATTATTTACGTTTTAATTTCAAGTACTAAATGACATGATTTATTGGACGAAGTCCAATTCAGTAGCCAAAATATACACAAGTTATAAACTGCTGCACAATTGAATGGTTATTCTTCTGAAAAGGATAATCCATGCAGTACTTTTCTATACTCTGTAATTACACCATTGGCAAAATTTTCAGTTATCTTGCATTTTTTACAAAATTAAACAATTCTGGCGATATCACATGCATTTTTTATGTGTAAATGTGTATTTTTGTGTGAAGCCTTTCATGTTACTTTTTGTAGATTGATTACAAATCAATAGCTATTCAATTATTATAATAATTATCCAGGAAAAACATACACCCTCGTATTTTACTGTAATAAGAAGTCCGAATTTTCCGAAAAATTATGCTTTGTTGAATAATAACCCCTCTTTTTAACGTCATACCTATGATGTCTTGATTCAAAATATCGAAGGTGCAATAAATGAAAATGTATCAAACAATAATTATTATAATAGGTAGACTCTATTCACTTTTTTCACGTTCAGTCTTGATTAGGGAGTTCCCGGAGCAGAATTTAAAAATAATTGATTTATCTCCGAGTTTATCTCAGAAACGGTGAATTCTATCGAAACTAAAAAAGAGAACCATTTTCAATTTAACATGTTAATACTTCAATAGTTCCTTGCTAAACTGCCGAAAATTACATAATTGAAAAAATTGGGGGAAATGCGCCTCCTATTATTCCGCAAACCCCTGAACAAAATCTCAAACCAATCCTAAAATTTGTCAAATGGGCATCAAAAGTTAGACACATATACAAAATTTGGTTATTTAATCACAAAATGTATCGAAAATAATCTGAAAAACCTTCATCTCATGCTCGCCTTTAAATATTTGTAGACCCATGTTTATATACAGCGTGTCTCACTTTAAACGGCCCCCCTCCATATCTCAGTTATTAGTCATGATCAGTTCTACAGAGATGCACATTATTGTGGACAGTGCCGTGCGTTTTTATTGAACTTAAAATAAGCAGTCGATTTTTCATTTAATCATATTAGGCATTTTTTACAGGAAATCTAACCTCATATTATTGTTCCTCATGCTTTCGAACCGCCATATGCAAAAAATCACCTAATTCCGAATTAACAGCATTGGCTTAATTTTTTTCATTTTCAGTCTCGAATAAATAGTGACTTCAAATCAACTACGAATTTTGGAACATTCAATGGCTCCGGTAGGTGAAAATTCATGATTTGGAAGGAAAAACGAGTTATATACTTTTTTATGTTGAACTCACCGTCTTCGAGTAAATAATTATTACGTTCGCAAGAATGCTGCTTAGATGTGCCTGTTTTTCTGAAACCCTTCATAGGCATCTTATGAAAATCCACATATGTGGGTTTGAAACCATGAAGAAAAATATTATGAGGTCAGTTTTCCTGTGAAAAAATGCCTAATATGATTTAATAAAAAACTGACCCCTATTAATTTCAATAAAAATGCACGGCACTGTCAAAAATGATGTTTGTCTTTGAAGAACTGGTCATATTGATGATTATTCATACCGATACGAATTTGGTGAAGATCGCACGACTAATAGCTGAGATATATAGAGGGGGGGGGGCGTTTGAAATGAGACACGCTGTATATAGGTACCCCTTTTTCATTATTTTTGTACTTACAATCTGTAATTGAAATCTCTCTAGTCTCTACTTAATTTAGAGACACCCTGATGTATACAGGGTGAGTCAAAAATGTGTATCGAACTTTCTAGAGGTGATAGTACATTGATAAACTAGTATAGTTTGATGAATAAACTAATGACCCAAAATGTATATTAAGAGGGAGATATATCCTTCCATAATGAAATAATTTTTCCATATAACGTCTTAACGGTAGACGCCGCCAGATTGATATGTCCTGCATGAATGTATGTGTCGTAAGTTGATAAGATACATTTTTCTGATATACTTTTACATTTCTGATATTGTTATAAAGGGTATGTTTTTAGTAGGTGGGTCATGATATTTTGAAGACAACTTTTTTCCCCGTATTCTTCCTGGTCAAGAAATAGGAGCATTTAATAGAGCCATAGATTAACGACTCAATGATAAAGCAAAAAAGTTACATAAAAACGGTACTCCTATCAAAATACGGAAATTGTAACCGTGTTCGAGATATTTGAGTTTTTGTAGTGACATATGATATCAGCAGATAAATTCATCAGTAATAATATTTCAGGACTCGAACTTTTTGCCCGAAAACTATCTCTCTTTTTTATTTTGAAACATTACTTTTCACGTAATCTCTGCACAATCCTCAAAATTGTTCTAGAATTTGGAACGCTCCGAACGGGAAACATCTCAGCATAACGAATAACCATCAATTCCTTTTAATCTCAGTTGAAAATCGCAGAAATAATATTACCAAGCAAAAAAACTAAACAAGGAAATTAACAGTAATCATAATAAGAATTATAGCAGAGATTTCTTAGAAACATTTCCCGTGGAAGTATTTATAGAAAGGTGAAAGATCGCCGACTTATTAGTTTATCCATCAAACTATACCTATTTTTTAATGTACAATAACCTCCAGAAAGCTTGGTACACATTTTTGACTCACCCTGTATATCAGATGTCAGCTGACTCAGTTCCACCTAAATACTTTGGAAAAATCGAATCAAAACTTTAAATTTCGACCCAAATGATTTGCTGAGTCAACGATGAAGTCAAAAGAAAATCATTCCAGTTTTGTTCCAGAAAAAAAGCACACAACAATGTTGGATCCATTCAACATCACTTTGATACCGAAAATTCCAAAGTAAGCCTAACAGCAACATGGTGGCATCAAGAAGTTATTTACCCCTGACATTTCTATTTATACTCCAAACAACTTCGATGCAGTGCCAAGATGAGAAGAAAAAAGGAGACGAATTCAGCGCAGACACAAACGAAATAAAAGACATACGTCCATTTAGCAATACTGAAGATGAACATTTCAAAGACATTTTCGATGACTTTTACGGTGCTAACATAAGATACTTCAGAGGGCCTAGAAGTGTTCCGGAAAGGAGTATAGCCAGCATAAGGAAAAGACTGAATGAGGAGAGGAAGAGGGATGAAATCATGGCGGCTGATGCTCTTCCTAGGATGGAGCCCAATGACACTGGGCTAGTCAAGCATGGGACCACTGATATGGATGCAGGATATGAACACGGTGGGAAATTATTTCTCGTATTTTTTTGGTACTTTACCAATAACATATGTCCAAAAAATGTCCTCAACGTGATTTCCGTACAAAACTGCATGTCTAAAAGATGTCCTCATTGTGATTTCCATATAAAATTGCATGTCTTAAAAATGTCCTCATTGTGATATCAATTTACAACTGCATTTCCAAAAATGTCCTCATTTTAACTTCGATACAAAACTGTTGTGTAGATGATTTTGACTCATTCAGAATTTCATACCAAAGACTCTCCATTCGTTGCCGTTAGAACAGGGTACAGGGTGATTCACCATAAATGTCCACCCATCTAGCTCAGTTATTTTCATTCATTCAAAATAATTTTTGATAAAGTTTTTTCCGCTACATCATTAAATACAGGGTGTTCGGAACAAACGATCTACAGGGTACTAGTTGATTTTTTCAAATGAAACTATTTCATTGCATTCCTAGATTCTCCCTGAAAAGCTGATCTCATCACACTAGGAGTCTAGCTACAGAGATATAGGGTGTTCAAAATCGAGATTTTTCAACTAAAGGATTTTTTTCTGTCGAAGCTATTCATTGAACCACCCTGTAGTGTTCTGATTAAATATCAATAGATAGTGAATCAAAAGTTGTGATAGGGACACAAAGTTGAAAAATCTCGATTTTGAACACCCTATACCTCCGTAATTATTCTCGCTAGACCCGAGTGTGATGCATTGATGAAATCAGCTCTTCAGGGAGAATATAAAAATGAAATGAGATACAGGGTGTCCAATTTCAAAAAATCAACTAGTACCCTGTACATCGTTTGTTCCGAGCACCCTGTATTTTCTGATGTAGTGGAAAAAACTTATTGAAAAATCATTTCAAATGATCCCTTAAATTTTGCGATCGGTTAAAAAATAACTGAGCTAGAGGGGGGGGGAATTTATGGTGAATCACCCTGTACATCTGCAGCACTCCGTTAAACATTTTACATTATCTTCAAAACAATTAGTGTTACTGAACCCTGATGAACTTTCTGTTTCTCTCTCTAGGGAGTTTATACAACTTTAACGGCGACCCTAGCTGTATGTCCAAAAAATGTCCACATTGTTATTTTCAATGAAAAAAGCGTTTCCGAAAAATGTCATCATTGTGCATGCCGAAAAAATTTCCTCAATGTGATTTCCATGCAAAGATGCATGCCCAAAACATTGCCTCATTGTTATTTCCATGCAAAAGGGCATGTCGAAAAAATTGTTGTTTCTAAAAGAAAAAATTTCAGCATTGTGATTTCTATGCAAAACGTGTATGTCCAAAAAATGTACTTATTGTGAACTCCATGCAAAATGAATGTCCAATAAATGTTCTCATTGTGATTTCCCTGCAAAAATGCATGTCCAAAAATTGTCATGATGATTTCTGTGTGGAAAGTGCATGTCCAAAAAATTTCCTCATCGTGATTTCCATGCAAAAAGTGCATGTCCGTCCAAAAAATGTCCTCATTGTGATTTTCATGCAAAAATGCATGTCTAAAAAATGTACTCATAGTGATTTTCATGCTAAAATGCATGTCCAATAAATGCCCACATTGTGATTTCCATTCAAAAAGTGCATATCCTAAAAATGTCCTCATTATGATTTCTATGTTAGAAGTGCATGTCCAAAAAATGTTCTCATTGTGATCTCATGCCGTTGCAGCCATGAACAGCGAGCAGCTGTACAACAAGCAAACGGACAAGATCAGGCAGCTCCATCTGCAGCACTCCGTAGAACAGCCGGGCGAGTTCGAGGCGGGCATCGACTGCGACTTCGAGAACGACTGCCTGTGGACGTGGCGCAAGGACGTCGCCAACGGGTTCTTCATCGCCGCTGGGGGGGCCGAAGGGGGCGGGCCGGCGGCCGATGCTGACCAAAGGGAGGGCGGTGAGTTGATTGTTTCGAGGTTTTTCTTTGTTTTTCTTTTCGGGGAATTTCATATCTAAAAGTGATTTTCATTTTTTGCAAAGTTCATATCAGTGAAATTTTGCGCTATCCTTTATTTTTTATTGACCAAGATATACAGGGTGTCCGCTAAAAGGAGGTCAATCCATTAACCATATATTCCTTGAACAAAAATAATATGAGTTTCTAAATACCATTTTTCATTTTAGCCCTTCATATTCGATATACAGGGTGTCAAAGTTGGAAATTAAAAATTGTTTTTTTTCTAATTACTCGCGTAATTAATAAGATATTAATCTCAAAATTGGTACATTACTTCAGCACAAAGAGTTACATCGTGTGAGGAAGACAAAACAGAAAATAACTGTCAAATATTCAAAATACTGGGGGTCAAGTACACACTTACCCCCATATTTTTCTTGTTCGTGCGCTAATGACTTCTTATCTATTTTTCTTCAAGTGTTCAATCTTTTTTGATTATTTTTAGATTTTTGTAAAATTCCGATAAAATTATTTGTTTTTAAGATAATTCGAAAAGTACTGGTTATTGTTTCATGCCTCGCGGCTTACGGTAATCTCATAATGTTCATATACTCCTATTTATTTCGTCGAAATTGGAAGAGGGCGTATCTTTTTACGTACGAAAAGGTAAATATGGAAATACCGGGTGCTCAGAGCAAATGTACTAACATAATTTTTACAGAAAAAAAAATTGAAAAATTGTAAAAATTATTTTAATACATTCGCTCTGAGCACCCGGTATTTCCATATTTACCTTTTCGTACGTAAAAAGATATAATCTTCCAATTTCGACGAAATAAATAGGAGTATGTGAACATTATGAGATTACCGTAAGCCGCATAGGCATCAAACAATAACCAGTACTTTTCGAATTATCTTAAAAACAAATGATTTAATCGAAATTTTACAAGACACACAAATTACTCAAAAATGATTGAACACTTGAAGGAAAATAGATAGGAAGTCATTAGCGCACGTACAAAAAAAATATGGGAGTAAGTGTGTACTTGACCCCCAGTATTTTGAATATTTGACAGTTATTTTCTGTTATGTTTTCCTCACACGATGTAACTCTTTGTGCTGAAGTAATGTACCAATTTTGAGATTGATATCTTATCAAATACGCGAGTAATTAGAAAAAAACAGTTTTTAATTTCCAACTTTGACATCCTGTATATCGAATATGAAGGGCTAAAATGAAAAATGGTATTTAGAAACTCATATTGTTTTTGTTCAAGGAATATGTGGTTAATGGATTGACCTCCTTTTAGCGGACACCCTGTATATAAACACACCGGCAAACGGCCAGAAATAATTAATTTTTGCTCGCCCTGTAACTTCCTGTCTGATTATGGTGGAATTTTTGGTATATTTATGTTTCGGGATGTTAGTCTGAATTTTAGTTTCCAAGAAAAGCTTGATCATTATACAGCGAAAAGCAAAAGCTACTCTTTCATCCTCAACTTTTGTGGCAAAAATGGGTGATTATATATAGCTATAATGATCAAGCCATCAGCATTTTTTGGGACCTAAAATCCATGTTAACATTCCGGAGTATGAATCTACGATCTGGTCGAAATTCCGCCATAATCGGACAAAATTAGGAAAGAGCGAACAATTTGGCTTATTTTTGGCATTTTATAGCCGGTTTTTTGCCGGTGAGAATATTTTGTTTGTTAATCATTTCACTGGAAAAAGTTTTGATTTTTGATAATTTGTCCGTAGATTTTCAGTATTTTCCAGTTTTTTTTTTATGTTATGTTTATGAAAATATTCATTTTCAGGTCTTTGTCTGAAAAACTGTCAGTTTGTTGTTTCAAGATTATATACAGGGTGGCCCACGGTACCTTAGACGTATACGGAAATAAACGGTACATTGGATTATTACCTTTACCAAAAAGTAGCATCAACTTTGTTATTTCAAATGGAACACCCTGTATTTCATTGCGTTTTTAGATTCTTCTGGAAGAGCTGATTTCATCAATGTATCACACTTGGGGTCTAGCAGGAATTATTACAGAGATATAGGGTGTTCAAAATCGAGATTTTTCAACTTTAGGATTTTTTGTGTCGAAACTATTCATCATTGGTCAAAACGGCTTACATGTCCCTATATTAAGTTTTGATCAACTATCTACCGACATTTAATTGGAAAAAATACAGGATGGTCCAAGATTCAGAATTTTGATCACCCTGTATCTGTTCCAATTAAATGTCAGTAGATAGTGAATCAAAAGTTAAGGTAGGGACATGTGAGCCGTTTTGATCGATAATGAATAGTTTCGACACGAAAAATTCCTGAAATTGAAAAATCTCGATTTTGAACACCCTATATCTCTGTAATAATTCCCATTGATGGAATCAGCTCTTCGAGAAGAATCTAAACACTCAATGAAATACAGGGTGTTCCATTTGAAATAACAAAGATGATGCTACTTTTTGGTAAAAGTGGCAACGCTGCATCGCTGAAAATATTTTGAATCGTTAGATCACAATTTTCAGGATAATCCAATGTACCGTTTTCCGTATACGTCTAAGGTACCATCGACCGTGGGCCACCCTGTATATTATAGCGAAATATTCACTAAGCAGCAGAATTATCGGGAATTAATTCTGCTGCGTGGAAGATTCGGTAAGAAAATTTCATAAGTTGGAGTTGCTCTTTATATGATGAACCCTACGACTTATTCTGCGTTTTATTACTGAAATGTGAGAAACATTTAATATCAAATTTGTTATCTGAAATGTCTTTAGTGCCAAATTCAAGTAGGACATGAAATCACATGTATTATACCTTCGTTTTTTTTTTTTTTTTTCGTTAATAATAATTACACATCGGTGAAATGTTCATCAGTAAAATTCGTTTCGGTAAATTTAAGACAGTACAAAAGTATATTGGCAATGTCAACCTAACGATAAAAGGTTCTAGAGTCAGAACTTCAGACGTCTCATAGACGATCAAATGAACTCATTTCCTTCAATGTCATTCAATTTCCTAGAATTTTCATTTAGCCCCAGTACATTTTTTTTTTCTGTTCTAAGTACGTCATTCAAAACAGTTAATAATGAATGAATCCTTTTAAATGTAACATCGTCTTTGTAGGATATCAGAAATTCTTGCAAGGAAAATACCAGCGAAACTGCATATGTAAAAAGATCCGTCTACGATAATAGTCACTTATACAGGGTGACTACGACTACAAATCTTGACCACTTTCAAAGGTTCAAATTAGCAAGTTTATCATTCCCTTCTCGTATTGAAACTAGAAAATGAAGAAACCCACAGGACAACACATTTCTGAATCACACTTTACTTCTAAATATTACCACAGGGGCGCCATTTAATTTAAGCTCTCTGAATTGTTTCCAATAATATATACCAGTATAGATTCAACTTTATTATTCCATAATTCAGAAAAATACAAATCATAAGTAGGTATGAAATGATTTTGTGATACATTTTCGTTTTTCATCCAACCATTTATACAGGGTGGCATTGAAATAAGTGCAAATATTTCAAACCCTAAGAAAGCTCGACGTATACTATCGAATGGCACCAATAAAAAACATATAGAGATCGAAATAGAATTTGGGGAAGACCCCTTTTTCCACCCAAAGTTCTACACTGTAGCAATTTTGACGTCACCGCTGTTGAAATTTTCGTACTGAAATAAGCACATTCACGCGGAGTTCAATCATTTAAATTGTTTCAAAGTGGCATACTTGATTTTTTTCTAGTTTTTTGTAAAATTTTTGGGATGAAACTTCTCATTAATTAGAAGAAGAAGAATTACAAGGTGATTCTGAAATAGGTGGTCAAACTTTGGGAGTATATAGAGTGAGTGAAATAATCACTAAAACCTTGGTAAATTTTTTTTCTGAAGTGCCCCCCAAGCAAGATACAGCCACTCAAAGGGGGGCCTCGGAGAATGGTTTTGTATTATTATATCCAACACCTTGTATGATGAAAATCTTAAATTTTGTTTATCCACTAACCATTCAGTGCCGGTTCGAATGGAGTTAAAATCACTTCAAAATTAAATACAGGGGTGTGTCAAAATGGGGAGGTAGGGGGTAAAAATAACCCCAACTTTTTTGTTCATCGCAATTTCAGTTTTTTTCATGAAAGTATGAAATCTCGGGGCCATTCACATAGAAAAGGAGCTCTTGTTGAATCTCGATAAAATGAACCATTAGCGAATAAAATTTATTATTCCAAGATTTCATTTCAATCGCGATTTTGGTATGTACTTAAGTTATCTATTATCTAGGTCAAATCTCGCAACTGAATTTTTACCTACTTCTAATCGTCTGATCAACTCAGAATCTGGCAGATGACAGTTGACAATGCATCATCAATCATTCTCCGAGGCCCCCCTTTGAGGGGCTGTATCTTTCTTGGGGGTCACTTCAGAAAAAAATGTTACCGAGGTTTTCGTAACTATTTCACCCACTCTATATGCTCCCAAAGTTTGACCACCTATTTTAGAATCACCGTGTATGTACTTATTTCAAAAACACCTCGTATATATTTTTTATGTTTCACGAAAACCCGTCTTTTCATGCAAAAATATGGAAACAAACCGAATGCTTATTCTGAGTGATGGAAATAATAATGATCTGATAAAAATTGAGGAATAAGTTGTAATTATTTGGAAATATTATTCTCTTCACTGATTTGAAAGAAAATATATATAGTAGCATTGGAAACATAACGAACTTTTTTAGGTAGGTACCTCTATACCTCATTATTCTTTAGTTCAATGGATGCATTTTTCAAAAATTGTCCACGAACGAATCCCTTTTTAAAATTCTTGAATCATATCTAATCGAAATAATTATAGTTTGTTATTGGCGCAGATGTAATTTCTCCAAATAATCCAGGGAGAGAACGCGATAATGGCCAATACGGTCCTGTCTATTTCACCACGTAGGCGGACGTAGGTGGATATAATGGGGCGATTCCAGGAAACATTTTGGTCTGGATCCTGGAATGAATGCTTGATATCTGGGTTCAACTTAAATGTCATGAGGACATGATCTATCTATTATCCTGATTGCGGGGGGAGGGGATTGAAGTATAACAAACATTAATCACAGGATTGTCACTATATCTTGTCGTTTAATTGGCAAGGTTCCATCCATCGACAAGCAACAGGTTACTATGGAATGGGCGTGTACACCTTAGTAGAACTTTTAACTCAAACCATGTTTATAATGATTAAATTAACTGGAATGTTTTATTTTTGGACATAAATAATAGTACCTTCTGAAAACGGACCCTCTTATGACGTAGAAACCTCATCTCGCCATAGTTGAAAGAAAATACCAAACGCCCCACGGAGACTGGGGCAACTGATATATTAATTCTTTCAACTATGATCTCGCGCTAATTCACTCTGTCAGAAATCATGTATCAATCATCTCTGTCTGGAATAGTCTTGTTTCAGTGTTAGGGTTTTGACGTCACATCATCGCCTCGTTTTCAGAGGTCCGAAAAATCGGGGATATCAATATTTTTTTATAAAACGTAGGGAGCTCACAGCAACAAACGGTTTGCGGTGATGAGCTAGTTAGGGTCCTATCGAATTATGAAATAATTTTTTTTTGTGATTTAATGTCCGACTCATGACAGATAATATGATACCTTTTTTTATCACCAAACTTCTGGAGATTATTACCTAATACACAAACTATTGAATATATCATTTATAGAGGCTGAAAAATTCTTGCAAGTACTGAATCATGGTCTTTCATTATAAAATTTCTCAAAATTTGAGCTATATTTGACTCTAGGGATGAAAATTTGAACGAACAAATTTGATAAAACACTCTTTATTAAGGTATACATTTGATACAAATGCAAACAAAATCAACCCTAACTAACTTAGAGCAAACCAGATCCTTAAACAATACTGAATCACAGAAATCAATTTTGTCACTTTGGAATGAGTTATTCAACTAATTTCGAGTTTTTTGCATCATAAAAAAATAATGATTCTTCTGTGTAATTAACAATGATAACATCATAATATAATCCATATATAATATATAACACCTAAAATAAAGTCAGTGTGAAGATAAGCACATTGTTCCCAGTTTATCATTCAAAAATATAACTACCATAAGATGGGGTTACTTGGGACCTTGGGGTAAGTAGCAACCTGTTGATGATTAGTTTAAGGAATTCTTCAAAAATTAATGATATTTCAAAAGTATAAAAAAATATATAAGTAGTGGTGACAAGCAAGGCAAAGATAAGTGGTCAAAAACTTTATCTGAAAGAGGGAGTCAAAAGGTAAGCAAGTAACGCCAATTCCATTTTTTCGTCAGTTTTGTATGTTTTATAATACTGCCAATGTTGATGTGTGCTTTTAATTTTTTTTTTCAGATTTTCAAATATTTCTTGTAAAAGATCATGATTATGGGTAACTTGGGACACACATTTTTATAGTTCTTTTTGGTCTTTATGATAAAAATCATTAAAACATGTTGCATGTACCTCATGTACCCACCATTATTCTTCATTCAAGTATTTTTGCATTTTTGTAATAAATAAATAAATAAATATTTTTTCACATTTGCCTTCCCTCTAAATACTTCTCTGAGCAAAAAATGTCAACTCAAGATGTGTGCTGGTGTATTATTTTTATTTTTCTGCTGTCCCAAGAAAACTGTGAGTAGTTAACATGCATTTTCAGTGTAAAAGAAGTACAGTCCCATTTTACCCCCAACCCTAGATTAACTTGGGACAGTGAATATTTTCATTTTTGGTGATTTATAGGTTAAATGCATATGAAAGAAATTTTTTACTCATAAATTGTTACTTTGCATCTCTAAAAACTTTGATCTATCACCACATTATTGAAAAAGTGAAAGTGAATTTGTCCCAAGCTCCACAAGTAACCCTATTTCATGGTACCATTCTAACATCAGACATGGTAAGCAATGAAAAAAATCCTCCAAATCAAAAAATTGGATTTCCTTTATGACAGATATACCTAAATTACAAAAACTTGGATAAATGGAATCTACAAAATGTAGTGAAACTCTGTGAGTATAGTCATTATTTTTGTCCACTGTTCAGCATAGCTTTACTCAATTCAATTTGCTTCTTATGGTAAGTTTTCCTCTCATTGTCTAAATTGACCATCTCATTGAGGATATCTGCATTGTGGGGCTCCATTTTGTAGGCAATATCCAAACGTTCCTTTGCTCTATCATAATCACCCAACATTCTGATACATTTAGCATTGTTGAAATAACATTTGGCAGATATTTTGAGATCTGTACCTTTAACTAGTTCCCTTATCTTATTGAAATTTATACAACCTTTTTTGGGTTCTTCAACTCTTGTATAGCAAACCAGAAGATTGCTGTAGAGCTTCAACAATAATTCTTGTTGCTTTTTCTGGTCCTCATAGTCTGCCAAGTGACAAACTTCCAACCTCCCAACTGCAGTGTTATATTCTCTTATGGATAACTTTATGTCTTTGTTATACAAATCTTTGGCTTTGGCACACAAAGCTAAACAGTATTGGTAAACATTGCTGAACTGCTTCTGTTCATCATTGGGCAGGGTAAGGAAGGTTGTTGAAGCACCTACATTCACAATTTCAGATAACTCAATCTCAAAAAGTACCTCAGTATTGGCTGGAACTCTATTCAGGCAGCCTAAAGGCCCATAAGCATACTCAGGTCTAATTAGAAATTGAGATTTCTCATGTATTCTCATACTTTGGACTGAAATGTCCAACCCAGGGATAACTTCACCTGCATTGATGGTGAACTGGTGTGGTTTTTTTCTAGCATAGGTAGAATCAAATGGTTCTGCAGTCAACTCAATGTAGGCATTATAATGAATCCTCACAAGAGATCCATCTTGTGGCTTCTCACCATAACCATCTCTCAGTATGCGTTTTTTGATAGCGCCGTTTCCTAACAGTTTAATCATCTTTTGGCTTATTTTTTCAAATGGTGTTCCTTCCACATAAGTGTCATCATCAGCAAACTCGCCTGCAACCTGCATGTTCAAGAAATTCAACACATTTTTCTCGTATTCGTCGTCCTCCTCGTTGGGTTCATCCGCATTCTCACCGTCCTGGGCTTTAATCGTGAATATGGCCCCATCTTCCATAAGGTCCCTGTAGATATTTCAGGATTATGAATATGAATCGAGAAAGGAATGCGTGTGGATACAGTCTTGCTGAAAACACTTACTTCAATTTAATGGGTTCTTCCAAAGTAGTCATTTTGTAATGATTCTTTGTGGCCCCAAAGAGATAAATCGCAAATCTGATATTAAATATAAAAGTTAGGTTAGGAACAAGAACATGGATAGCATAGAACTTCAATATAAAACTCAAAACAGAAAGAAGAAAATGAAGTTTGTATTCTGTGTTCTGTGTGTGTGAAACACGAAACGACAAGAGTGTGGTAGTGACTTCTGTACAGTCAAGCCGTGTTCGTAGTATAAATAAATCATCAGTTCTACCAACCTTCGAAAAATTGACCTCCAAATTCAAAGTTGACTTTCTAGAAGTTTTTCAGTGGCCGATTTTTCGCAGGGCAGTCAGAATACTACCCAGTTTGTAGAAGATTGCACACGGGGTGAGATAAAAAGAATATTTTTGGTCATCTAAACACAATTTAAACTTTTTCGTCGTCCGATCCTATGAGATATTTTGGATAGTTCAAGAAGAAATATGTTAGTGGCCGTTTTTTTCAAGCAGGGTCAAACAGTACTAGCCGAATTTCTAGAAGATTGTATACAGGGTGAAAAAAAAACAGTTATATATTTGGTCATCCTTCAAACACAACTTCTTCAAGTTGTTAGGCCCTCCAACCCAATATATGATATATGTGTATGTATATAGTACCGTATATACAGGTGTTCTGGATTCAAGAATTCTTATCACCCTGTATCTGTCCCAATTAAATGTCAGTAGATAGTGAATCAAAAGTTAAACAGGGACATGTAGGCCGTTTTGACCAATAATAAATAGTTTCGACTCAAAAAAATCATATTTGTGCACCGCCTATATCTCTGTAATCATTCCCGCTAGACCCCAAGAGTGATGCATTGATCAGCTCCAGGAAGAACCTAAAAATGCAATAACATATAGAGGGTGTCCCATTTAAAAAACCATGATAGATAGATATGAAAATAATTTAAGGTGATAATTCTCATGAAACCCTGAAACTGTTGTAAGCACGCGATTAGCAACTTTTTGGCTCAAAATGCTCTTGATTATACAGGATGATTCAAAATTAACTGATTGTATGCAATTTCAATTTACATATTCGACTCGATCCAACTCCTATCTAATAACTAAGTATTAAAGGATAGATTGTCACCCATTATAAACAATCAACATTTTTGAGTTCCGCACGTAAATAATTCTTATACAATATGACTAATTCTTTTTTACATCGTTAATGCTATTAATCACTAAACAACTATGTACGGGGTAATCCCGATGTTTGTACTTTAATTTCGGGAGGTGATATAGTGTGACTCGCGAAATAATGGGGCTTTTATACAGGGCGTCAAAATTCGATTTAAGTTCACATCAATCATGATTAATATATTTATGATAATGGAATTTTTGCTTCAGGAAGTTTCCTTCTACTAAGGCTTCCCCTCGAATCGACAGAATTCCACGTGACCAGTCCTCAGTTCAGTCCTACAACCACGTCTTGCAAACTGGCCTTGTGGATTTACCAGGAACTAATGGACGGAGGCTTCATACGAATTGTCGGATACAAATCTGATGATAATACACAGTGGCTGGTTAAAAGTATACCTGGCGACAACAGCAAGAAGTAAGTGTTGTCGACTCGAAATTTTCATTTGGTCTAACTAAATAGTACCAATTCAATTGCTAGTTCACCATTATTTGACACTGAATGATCAAAAGTAATCAAAAATAGAGGCATTTCTTCTTTGGAGTTGTTAAAACATTGATGATGGCTACAATATTAGATAGAAACACATTCAAATCACTATATAAGCTAAAATCTACAACTTTTTTTCTTCTAACAATTCATTATTCATAATATTTGGCTAATTTTCAATAACTTCTTTCAGGTGGCGAAAGTACGACATGTCAGTAGGAAAAATCTCGAAGAATTTCACGATCATCTTGGAAGTGGTACCGTCTGAAAATATGGTGACAGGAGCGACCGTCGCCTTCGACAATATCCAGTTGTTCCACTGCTACCACAAAAATGACGATACTTGTTCGTCTATGCAGTACAAATGTAAAGCCACGACGACTTGCATCAACAGTACCAGCATCTGCGATATCACCAAGGACTGTCTTCATGGAGATGATGAAACACATAATTGCGGTAAGATAAACAGGGTGTTTTACAGTTCAGTTCCGTATATTGACTTCTTGTGAGAACTGTCACTGTCTATCCGGCTCGAAGGACCAAAATTATGTTTGATATGTCGAATGAACAACAACTTTTCTGAATCAATTTCAGACCAAATGCCGTACGGTTCGAGATGCAGCTTCGAAGAGGACTGGTGCGGGTGGGAGAACGTCGACGTCAAGTCGCTGGAGTGGGCGCGCCACAACGGCTCCACGCCCACCAATTTCACCGGGCCCAGCTTCGATCACACGTTCAAGAACGGCAGCGGCAACTATTTGTACGTGAACATGCTGAAGGAAAACGCCAAGTTTGCCACGGCTGCCACGCTCAGAAGCGTCGATTTCAATCCTCCACCGAGGGTGCACGGAAATTTCTCCTCGAGGTTTTATAATTCCTGTGCGGTGAGTAATGGTTTTACTCATGAGTGTAGTCTAGGTTTTACTTTTGATCGAATAATGACTATTAATTTATCCATAACGACCTTTGCAACCGCCAATATTAGTAGGAATTTTCACTTTAGAATCATTGTTCTGGTGTTTCGATTTTCATTCATGATGAAACAGTTAAATGGTCGTGATAAAATAAACTTTTCCCTCGCACCTCTGGAAATTGAGTATGGTGTACTACAAGGATCAGTTTTGGGGCCAGTTTCTTCTCGAAATTGCATAAATTCCATAATAACTCTGGAATTGATACCTTTCCTATATTGAATCGTAAAAGTATCAGTTCTGGAATATGTTCAATGTTTATTCATGGAATTCCAGATTAGATTCTACTTGCACAAAACCGGTAAGCACAAGAGCGCCATCTTGCTGCAAGTAACCGAGTTGAGGCCTTCGGAAAATGTGTCCATGGAGATGCTGTGGAGCTTCAATGACCACGGTGACCAGTGGGTTAGACAAGTCTTCATATTACCCAACATCACACACAGGTATTTCAAATTTCCAACCAACAGCAATGCGTTAATCATGTCAATCATGTGGTCATATAAATTCGTGGAATTATCTTTGATCATTCAGTGATGTGAATGATTTTTTTTTCAGATATTTCATACATTTTCAAGCGAGAAAAGGCATCAGGTACATGAGCGATATTGCCATAGATGACGTATCTTTGAGTCCGGAATGCTTTGGCCTGAATATTCCCAAAGAAGAACTGCAAGGTTATAATTATTGGGACGTCAGAGCGGGTCTATCTCCCGATCAAGAAACCCACAAAGACTTCGTTAATAAGACATGTAAGCAAGTTTGAAATAACAGAAATGCCATTTTGATAATTTTTTTTATCAATATTTGTTTTACCTTGAGAATAATTGGGAAGTTTCAGAAATAGATTTTACCAATCACCTTCTCTGATTGTTAAGTTAGGACTAAGTTGAGTCGTGGGTTATTTGATATTTTCAATATTTTAATCATGCTTTTCGCCAACAAAAGTAGTAAGCCTGCAAACAAGAACGCCACTGGAACAATCTCTATCTTTCTGTTGAATGTCAGGATCAGGAGCGTCCGCAGAAATAACCTCAGGGGAGACAAGTCACAATAATAATGCACAGGGTGTCCCAAATTGCTTGATTTTGGCAGTTTTTCCTTGTTCCAGAACAGCTAGCGAAAAACTGACCATAGGGTCAAGAGCTCGATTTTTATGAAACGTCGATTGGTGGAAACTGCATTTCGATATCTCTAACCGTTTCACTCAGAGATGACCGTTTATAAAAATACAACATCGACAACTGATTCGTTCTGATGCTACGATGATAATCAACTAGACTTGCTTGAATCTTCGATCACACGATGATTACGAATACCTTAGACAAACGAAAACGTTGCACAAATAACGTAGCTCTGTCTGATATATTTATCTGAACAACCTTAAATCAACATATTACAATATAATCTAATGATATTGATTTCAATGTTGATGCAACGTCTCATGAACGTTTTACTTCATAATATTATGTTGGATACTTCAGAAGGACAAAACTTATATCAGAAAAATATTTTCGTTATGTATCATGTTTAGTGGGTTACTTGTTATATTTCTCATCTTCATACCAAAATGGATGTTTTATCCGAAAAATCCTCTTGGATTGTGGCTTAGGCAGCGATTCCACACATGTCCTCAGAATGTGATAAGGAAATGAGCAAAATAAATGTTGTTTTAGATGTATGACAAACTGACATTTATCATACAGGGCGTGGAAAGAAATTCTGAATTGAGAAAAACCCAATCACGAATCTGCGATTGAAGGTCTATAAAAATAACAAGTTTCCATCGTTCAAGTTTGAACCCCTTGATTGGGTATGAAAGTATTGAAAAGGAATATTCTCAGATATATTATAAACATGAAAAAATGGATACATTTGAATAAATACATTGAGAATTCGCATTCTCTATGTGATGAAATTATTAATTCTTTCTCGGCATATTCAACAGAAAACAACTACTTTCCTGGCTATATGCCACGACGAACATTGAATTATATCAATTGAACATACACGATAGGAATTTGAGCATAAAATGAATATCGTCTGAAATTGAGAATTGGCATTCTCTTCCAGAATCGGATGAATACTATGATGAATATAACGATATAAAAAATATATTACTTACCAAATTGGTATGAAAATTGGAATGTATGGGAGAAATATACTAGTATACATACTCTGTTCTTGTTGAGTCGTGAATTTATCAAAATAAATGTTACTTTCCCACTAGTTACTCTGAGTTTTTGAGAGACATAATGTGTTTTATTTTGCAGATTATGAGATAAGAACTTGCAATGCCAAAGGGAGATTTGGGCCAACACAGCCTGACTGTACTAAGGCGTATAACGGTACTCAAATCAATGTTAGAGTTGTGCATGAGCCTGGTTTGACTGGAGTGCAGAAATGGGTAGTGCCTAGAGACGGATACTACACGTGAGTACCAATAAAAAATTAGATATCGTGTACTTTTGTTTATTATAATCATTATTTGTGTTTCTTGTTTCATCTTGAATATTCTTGACTGACAACAGCGCGTCTGACATGTAATAGGGTTGTTTTCATAGTGGAAGGAGAAGATGGTATGCTCAACAGAAAGCTCAAACTCGTCTTGTTCTGCGCATGACGTCAGCTGGGATATAACTGTCATTGTAATATTTGTTTTCGTGATTGATGTCTCGAACTTCAGATATTATATAAGTACTAAAATTGAATGAAATAATTTCGAAATGCCTACTTGTTTCATTTCTGGTAATGGAAATTCCAACTAACATACAAAAGGCACAGATATTGAATTTTTCTGCTTTTCCAAGAATGGAGACCTAATGAAACGATGGGAGCTTGCTGCCGACAGAATATAAACTCAAATTATGGTACCTACCTTTTATTCCATATATCGTCATTCCAAAGTATTCACCTATCATATTATCATCACATTCATATAACAGCACGTATTTCTTCAAAACATTCCCATGCAAAATGTTCCCAAACAAGTGCGAAAGTACGGTTCTTGAATTACACACCTCCAAAAAATCACAAATATTTGAAACAAGATGCCATTCCTACAGAACATCTTCCGAATATCAAGTCAGAGATAATTGAAAATGAATTCAAAACTCTTAATTCGTCACAAAATATAAATTGCAGCAAAGATTTGAATAACAAAACGGCAAAAATTGATACTCCTGTTGTCGATGTCGGAGCAGAAGCAACGTCAACGTCGTTAACTGCTGAATTTTAATCTGTCAGAATCGACACAGTATTGGCGGATCATTCAGATGGGATTGGCAATGTATGATAATTCGTATGTATTTGCTATTTGCGATTGCGAATTACCTCAAGATCACAATTTCCAGAATCAATGAAATAGTAAAATCGAAGGAATAGGAACCTGTTTATATAAATTGAATTATTTTTAAACAGATCGGGAAATGTGATTGAATTCATTGCGCACGCCCATGGCAACGGTAATGTCTGTGACTAGCAGCTGATATGGGTATCCCAGATGACGTCACATAATATGCGCGTAGGCACACCACTATGGTTGTTTTCAATCATTTATTTTTTCTCGAAAAGTTTTCATTGACATTAACATCTTGAATTAGATTTAGTTATTTTGCAATACAGGGTGTCCGTTTTTCGAGCTCCACCATGGGGATCTGAGTAATTATAAGAGATACGAGCTCGGTCAAAGTAGGACAAAGTTGCGCATTTTCATGCTGAACAGTTAGAACATTTAGAAAATTTGATGTGCCATTTTTAGTTCTCGAATTATTGGAAGTAAACGAAAATTTATAATTCTCGTTTTTATTTTTTCAAGCTGAAACCAAAAGACAAACTTATCTGACTGGGACATTCATAAGGCACTTTTTTACAAGGAATCTGAATCTGTCATTGCATCTTTCATGCCGTTCTTGATGTCAAAATTACAACAAACAACTTTGTTTTTTCTTTTTTTTTCGATTACAATGATGTATATTTAGATCTATGATACACGGTATGATCGAATCTTTCCTGTTGATTAAAATTGGGAAAAAAATCATTTTTGCGAAGAGTGCTTTGGAAAGAACACCAACAGTTTTGTTTAATAAGTTGAATTTCGCGAGTTTATTTGAATTTGGATCTGGAACGTTCACATTTTCGTCAAGCTCATCTACTAAAGAACTATGGTTTTGAATTTGGAACGACGTAATGAGCTAGAAGTTTATTCTTCGCAAAACAAAACAAAGTTATAAAAGATTCTCGAATACTCCACCTTCCACTTCTAAACACGATACTACGCGTTTTCTCAGATTCTGAATTGCTCGCGCCAGCGGAGAGAGATCAGGTGACCGCGCTGACCAACGCATGTCTCCGTTGTTGGAATTGGAAATTACCTTGTTGGAAATCCATAGCGAATGTAAAAACTTCACAAACGATAAGATTTCCACAAAATTCTCAAACACACGGCATGTTTCGCTAACACAGTAGCTTCGTCAGGTGATATACTGGTACAATGAGCTCAGTTCATTGTACCAGTATATCATTGAACTCAGTTCATTTCACCAGTATATCACCTGACGAAGCTACTGTGTTAGCGAAACATGCAGTGTGTTTGAGAATTTTGTGGAAATCTTATCGTTTGTGAAGTTTTCACATATCTGACAGACTCTCGTCAACCCTTCTTGCCTTATGTGGATAAGCTCAAGAATTCAACAGTTCTGTTCGCCTATATTCAATTGAACTGTCAACATTCAGTTTATTTAACAAAACTGTTGACGTTTCTTCCAAAGCACTCTTCGTTAAAATTGTTTTTCCCAATTTTGATGAACAGGAAAGATTCGATCATATCGTGTGATACATCATTGTCATCAAATCAAATGCAAAAATCCAATATGGCGCCCATAAGATGAAACAAAGTTGAGAGTTGTAACTTTGGCAGCATCAAGAACGCCATGGAAAATACGATGACATATTCAGATTCCTTGTCAGAAAGTGCCTTAAGAATGTTCTAGTCAGAAACGTCTGGGACTTTTGGTTTTTGCTTGAAAGAATAAAAACGAAAATTACAAATTCTCATTCCGTTTCAAATGATTCAAAAACTGAAAATGACACATCGAATTTTCTTACAGATAAATGTTCAGCATAGAAATGCACAACTGTGCCCTAATTTAACCGACCTCGTATCTCTTATAATAATTGAGATCCCAATGGTGGAGCTCGAAAAACGGGCACCCTGTATAAATTCACTCATTTTCAATGATTTATTTTCGAATGGTTGTAGATGGAGTATTATTTTTTCTGTTTCTATAGATTTATACTGAGTGGTGCGAGCGGTGGAAGAGGCAGTTCGGCTATGGGTTCTTCTAGAGGGGCAATGATCAGAACGATATTCGATATGAAGAAAGGCCAGGAAGTCTTTATGTTGGTTGGCCAAGAGGGAACCAGCTCTTGTGTTAAGGTAAAACATCCCACTAACCAAAGTTGAAAACTATGTTGATGCAATGTTGAGTTGAAGCGATGATTGCTGAGATGGACGTTCCGCAATATTGGAAAGGTGAAGTTTGATGATGAAACGTTGCAGCAATATTACATGTTGCTGTGACATTGCTGGAACGTTACATTTACAAATTTACATTTGCAATATTGCTGAACGTTCGTTTCAGTAATTGCTACAACGATGCATCAACATAGCTTCCAAATTTGCTTAGTGGGATACAATTTTCAGGAAACTGTTTTCTATTTTGAAACCGTTCATTTTTCTTATTTTATATGAATTATCCTTCGAATACAGTAATATGCACCCTATTTTTTTTATATTTCAGAGTCTTGGTACGCTGAGAAACTCTTCTTGTCGCTCAAATCATGTTTTTCGCTCTGGAGGTGTAAGAGGTGTATTATGGATAGATATCAACGACAGCGGAGGTGGTGGTGGTGGGGCAACTTATATCTTCATGGTGAGCTTTTACTACATCTGATATCTCTAATTCCGACAGATTCAAATTCCTTCTGAAAGAGTGCCCTTAGAATGTCCCAGTCAGAAAAGTCCAAGTCTCTTGGTTTTCGCTTGAAAAAATAAAAACAAAAATTAGAAATTTTCCGTGTTCTTCCAATAATTCAAAAACTAAAAATGACACATCAAATTTCCTTGTTGTTAATTGTTCAGCTTGAAAATGCGCAACTTTGCCCTAATTTAACCGACCTCGTGTCCTTATAATAACTGACGAGATTCCCATGGTGGAGTTCGAAAAACGGGCACCCAGTATACCTGCCTACTACCTAACTAGGTTCTCATTTAGAATAACAATGCTTAAGAGATAAACAATATGTTGGTCGAGAATGACCTGTCCGATTTTCGAATTTTAGGAATTCGATCCCTACTACAGGAGAATGATCCAATGCTTTCAGTTCTCATAGGAAATGATAATTTGTCATGACACCTATTCTTGAACCAGATGGAATCGTTTTTTCCAGGGGATCGAAAAATTGCCGTACGTCGCAGATAGATTCTTGAGCTTACATGAATCTGTGCATGAATTCACCAATGAAATAAATGCAATTCATGTTGGTAACTGGTGGATGATTGAAATGAAATGTTGACATTTTGATTTTGATTAATTTCGAGGTTATAAATAAATATTATTTTGCGACGGTGGGATTATTGTGTATTGTATATTCACTGTTATCGCTAATATAAAGATTTCAACTTTCAGAAAACCTTTTCACTTTAGTTCGTATCGAATCTGACCATCACAATCATATATTTTTGACTCAATGACTTTTTCTGTCAAAATCCCCTAATACTATGTGTACAGAATTAACTAAAATATAAATTAGCCGTGACATTCTCCCCGTGAAGGAACTTCTTTTTCTTCACTACTTATTTCTGAACGGCATAATTTCTTGACTGGCCTCCGGAAAGTAGAGGTACTAGTTTTCCCTTCGGCAACTCTTATTCTTCCATCGGGCCCTGGAAATACTTTTTCTATCTTTCCCATTGTCCAAGCATTTCTTCGTATGTTGTCATCTGCTATTAATACAATATCTCCAACTCTGATCTCTTGGTTATCGTCTGTCCACTTAGATCGTTTATTTAGCCGTGGTAAATACTCTTTGACCCATCGACGCCAAAATATATCTGTTAACATCTGGGATTTCTTCCACTGTTTACGCAATGATGAGTTTGATTCGCTGATACATACTGGTCCGTTCTGATTCCCGTATCCAATCAAGAAATGATTGGGAGTCAACGCCTCAGGATCAGCAGCATCAACAGAAAGTCAGAAACATAGGTTAGTGGACGTGAATTTACTATGTTTTCCGCCTCTGCTAATAGTGTCAGAAGAGTTTCATCTCTGAGAGATTGGTTAAATAAAGCAACTCCAATGGTCTTCTTAACAGAACCAATCAGCCGCTCCCAGACGCCGGCCATGTGTGGCGCTGCAGGTAGTAAAAAATGAAAGTCAATACCTTCTGAAGCCATTGTACCATGCAAAGCAGACGTATTCATTTCTGCTAGACATTTTTTCAACTCTTCAGCGGCTCCACGGAGATTTGTTCCATTATCGCTGAAGATCTTTGATGGTTTTCCATTCACGAAGGCTCGAACATCTGGAGTCAACCGTACTTCTGGTAGTTGTCCCATTTTCGGCATCACAGGTTTCGCTTTCGATTTTCTGCATATAAGACAACTGGAGAATGTTGACTTCACTGCAGCTCTCTCATCAACGAATACGAAGTACAACACAAAGAGAAGACGAATGAATGATAACTGATCAGTAAGAGACGAAGACAATAATTGAAATTTCCTTGTGTTTTAGCGGAATCGTACCAAGGAAAAGATACCTCTAGCCGTAGCAGCCGGTGGAGGTGGTCTGGGTTTGGGCCGTTTCAGCGTCGATAACGTTCAACAACATGGGCAAGCCATCAATAAATCGCGACTGCCGTTCACTGGGAGAATGTATGGACCCAAGTGAGTTTTTTTGACAATTCCACGACTTATACAGGTTGTCCCTCCGGGAACTGCATCGATCAATATATAGAAAACCATAAGTGGGCCGAATTTGAAAATTTGGTAGTTCACTATTGTTGATAAGTGCTATCCGGCTAAAATATTTTGAAGATTGTGGCACTTTCGGTTGTACCGGAAGTGGACCCCAACTTCGTTATCTGAAATGGAACACCCTGTATTTTATTGCATTTTTAGATTCTTACTGAAGAGCTGATTTCATCAATACATCACACTTGGGGTATAGCGGGAATGATTACAGAGATATAGGGTGTTCAAAATCGAGATTTTTCAATTTTAGGATTTCCCTATCTTAACTTTTGATTCACTATCTACTGGAATTTAATTGGAAAAACTACAGGGTGCTTCAAGATTCAGAATTCTGATCACCCTGTATCTGTTCCAATTAAATTTGCTTCAAAATCGTTTGTGGTTATGTTTGATTGTCACTGCTTGTCTAGTGTCCGTACTCTGTACAAAAAACGTCAAAACAGCAGTGTCAAGTACATTTAGCCAGACCTATCGATATTCCCATTCAAATACACCGTAGATGTGTACCAGCCACGCACACATGACCTAGGGTGCCTTGATGGAAATTGACGTTAATCACTCTAAAGTGTTTGTGAAACAGTTATATAGTTCCATCCTCATTCAATTCTAGGGATAAACACTAGATTTTTGACATTTGTTGTTTTTTAGGTTATATTGAGGTCATTGGCGTATCATACGGAATTTTCATATGGAATTCCTGATTCAAATATACCAAGATATAGATGAACAATCCTCTAGTTTACTACTCCAGCATAATCTTTGCGAGGTAGAAAACATATAAATTGTACTGAAAGCTTCATATACTTCACCAAAAGATACTGTTCTTAGACTGTTTACCAGGGTTGACTGAATTGACTGATTGAATTCTGATTATTTCAAGCTGAGCAGCAGTTTATCTAAGAGCTGAATGAGCTGAGCCTTATGAAAAATGAGAAATGGTGAAAACCTCGATGTGGGTATCTAAACTACTGTAATCTTGTCATGTGTGCTAAATATATTCTCGGAAATCCAACTCGGAGAAGAATTTATGGAGTGACTAATATCACACTATGTGTATAACTTATTCAATCGTAAAATCTTTTTATTTTCTTTATTATAATTTTATAATCATTAACATTCAGAAATCATTTGACACTGTCAATATTTTCTTTTTTCAACAATATACAAATTGTATTGGGAACGAATAATAAATATCATTACTAGATTACTAGCTGACTTGGCAAACGTTGTTTTGCTATGCAAAATATTTCTAGAAAACATTCTTTTAGTTAAATATTTACCAGCACACTTTATTTATCTCATTTTCTACTTCTTTTTAGTTCGGCTGTCCATAAAAGCATGTTTCTTTAGTTTTTCAAAATACTATTCATTTTATACTCCTTTTCATCTCGGCAATCTATCTCTTCAGTTTTTTAAACTACTATTCATTCTCTACTTCTTCTAAATTCGACTAAGTATCTACGAACGCGTGTTTAATTGATTTTTCAAACAACTATTTATTACATCTTGAATATCCCAATTTTGACAAAAAATCATAAAGTTCGACCCCGAAAACCCCCAGATACCAATCTTTAATAGAATCAGATCATAATTAGAAATGTCTTTCGCCATATTGGATCCGTCATCTTCCAATCCATTATCTCCTACCCCGAAAACCCCCAGATACAATTTTGAATAGAATCGGATTTTACAAAACTCGTCCACCATATTGGATCCAGAATCTTGAATATCCCAATTTTGACGAAATAATTATAATCTCCGACCCCGGAAATTCCCAGATACTTTCCAATTATGGATAGAATCGGATCATAATTACAAAACTCGTTCGCCATATGATCTTCCTCAACAAGTAAATGCCCTGTACATACCTATTATTAAAATTTTGAATGATTTTCTGTAGCGCCCATGGATGTGACGTGACAGCAATGTCAGGGATGCCGGTAGACAAAACTAACTAGATCATTAAAAAAGAATGCAGCTATGATCTGTCCGTACCCTGTTAAGATGACAAATACGTCAATTTCCATCAAGGGACCCTAACATGACCGGGAATCTTTCTATACCTGTGTCCAATATGTGTACAGTGTGTCCAGTTTTCGATGCTTTTGTGGGATATCTCAGTAATCTTTGGAGATAGAACCTTGCGGGTTTCGCGGTCGTGTGCCACTTTTTTGTGAAACTCAAGATGGCCTTATCAGATTTTGCATAACTGTTTCCGTTTATGAGATACAGGGCGATTTTGAAAATTTATACTTTTTGGACCCCCTCTATATCTACGAAATTTCTCTGCAAAAATGTCAAATTTGAATCTCATCCCATATAAAAGTCCACGTAGAATCCAGTGACGCACTCAAAATTTTTTTTCGGGGTATGATTTTGGAGATACGATAAACTTATGATTTTTCAAATGGAACACCCTGTATTTTATAAGCTCATAAAATTCCTCATTTTTTTCTCTTCAAAATGATTCATATTGTATATATATGAAATTTTCAAAAATGCTCTGAAATCACTGAAACATTGAATTTTAATAGTGGGCTATGGATTTTTCTTATTAAAAAGGTCCAATTGAAGGAATATTCATTTTGATTTTTCCATAAAGAGGACAAAAACAATACCAACACTAACTAAGAAAACACACAAATTATGTACCTGATAGCAACAAATAAATAGTAATAAAAAGTTCATAATGTAGAATATAAGCACCAGATCAAATATTTACAAATACAATTGAATTTCGGAATTATTCAATAACTTATTCACTGAATTGTTCAAATTGATGTCCATTTCCCATAACACACAATTGACACAGTTTCTCAATACGTCTTGATACAGTAAGAGTCACAAATATCTTGAAGAACTTCGTGCAACAACAGAGGCAGTTTTCCAGGAATTACAAAGACATCCTTTAATGATTTTGAATGCATTAAGACGTATTGAGAAAGCGTGTGAGGGAAAGTGGACATCAATTTGAACAATTCAATGAATAAGTTACTATTCAATTGTCTTAGTGAATATTAAATCAGGTGCTTATTCTAGAATATGAACTTTTTATTACCATTCATTTGTTGCTATCAGGTACCTAATTTTTGTGTTATCCTGATTAACTAGTGTTGGGATTGTTTTTGTCCTTTCCATGGAAGAATCAAATGAAATATCCCTTCAATTGGAACTTTTTTTAAATGAAAAATCCATAGCCCATTATTGAAATTCAATGTTTTAGTGATTTTGGAGCATTTTTGAAAATTTTATACCTATTCATCATATTTCATTTTGATGGAAAAAAAATAAGGAATTTAATGAGCTTATAAAATACAGGGTGTTCCATTTAAAAAATCATAAGTTTGAGTCGTATCTCCGAAACCATACCCAGAAAAAAAAAATTAAGTGCGCCACTGAATTCTGCGCGAAATTCTGTATGGGATAAGATTCCAATTTGACATTTTCGCTGAGAAACTTCGTAGATATAGAGGGGGTCCAAAAAGTATAAATTTTCAAAATCACCCTGTATCTCATAAACGCAAACAGTTATGCAAAATCTAATTAGGCCATCTTGAGTTTCACAGAAAAGTGGTACAGGACCGCGAAAACCGCAAGGTTCTATCTCGAAAGATAACTGAGATATCACGCAAAAGCATCGAAAACTGGACACACTGTACATATGGCAGAGAATTGAAATGTCATGTGTCCATATATGGTACACATGGCAGTTAAAGTGTTAAGGGAGTAATTCTTCTTCTTTTCATTATTTCGCCATTGATAATTTCAGGAGCGCCGGAGCCGGCGGCGGTTGGAACATGTTCGCCGGCCTCGTCGATCCCGAGCACAAGCCGATGATGGGCAGCTCGTTGCAGGCGGGCGGCATCGGGGGCAAGGCCTGCTACAACTCGACGGACAGCAGGGGGGACGGCGGCTTTGGCGGGGGCGGCGGCGGTTGCAGGTGAGGAAATGACTCAAGATCTGAATTTTGATGGATGGAGAAGTTTTGACGGGTGTGGATAGCAAATTGAATAGTGACTTCAGAGTGGATTTATTTTTTTCATTGGGGGAATTTATGAAAATTTTATCTTGAAATAATATCTGCGGAACCTTTCAAACATAATAAATTGTGCCTTTATAGATTGTATCAAACTTATTTCTGAGTTTGGATCGTAATTTTTAATATTCTTCGATGTATGTCAAAAGAAACATGAAGAGGAAGCAAAAATAATGAATTAAATTAAATTGAATTGAATTTACCCAAAAGATGTAGATCCCGATCAAGGGCGTACTATTTTTTTTATTAGATGGGCTATAGTCGAGTTTTTAGATTTCCGAAAATGTTAAATAATTCTGCCAGACAAATTGCAACTCAAATGATGTATGTATGTACAGTGTGTTCAGTTTTCGATGCTTTTGCGTCATATCTCAGTTATCTTTGAAGATAGAACCTTGCGGTTTTCCCGGTCCTGTGCCACTTTTTTGTGATACTCAAGATGGTCTAATAAGATTTTTGTGAGATACAGGGCGATTTTGAAAATTTATACTTTTTGGGTCCCCTCTATATCTACGAAGTTTCTCAGGGGAAATGTCATAGACGTACCAATAATTTTTTGAGGTGATAAAAATAAAAAAAGAATATGTCGGAATTTTTTAACTTTTCTGGCCGCATACAAAAAAAATGGGTAGGGATCTCAAGGGCATACACATTTTTTTCTAGGGAAGTCAAAATTAAAAGGCATCAGAATCTCAAGAAAATTCAATTACGGTACCAGGGGCGTACCCAACATTTTTCTGGTAGAAGGCACATCCAAAAATGTCTAAAAAAGCGTATAGCGACTCCATCAGTGGCGTATCATTTCATTTTGAATGGGTAAAAAAAAAAAATCTCAAAATCTGTTTCTCTCTGTACAAGAAAGCGAAATAGCGCCTCCAGAGGCGTATAATTTTTTTTTTCTGTGGGGGTCAAAAATGAGAAAATCACAAAAATTCAAAAATTGTAGATATGATGGCAGAGGCGGCGGTTACGCCAGTGGCGATGCCCCGTCTCAAGACTCCACCAACGGCGAGGATAGCCATAATCTCAAGAAAATTGCATTTTTCTGGTAGAAAACAAATACAAAAATGTAAAAAAAAACGTATAGCAACTCCATCAGTGGCGTACCATTTTATTTTGAATGGGTAAAAAATAAAAATCTCAAAATCTGTTTCTCTCTGTACAAGAAAGCGAAATAGCGCCTCCAGAGGCATATTATTTTTTTTTTCTGTGGGGGTCAAAAATGAGAAAATCACAAAAATTCAAAAATTGTAGATATGATGGCAGAGGCGGGGGTTACGCCAGTGGCGATGCCCCGTCTCACGACTCCATCAACGGCGAGGATGGCCAGAATCTCAAGAAAATTGCATTTTTCTGGTAGAAAACAAATACAAAAATGTCAAAAAAAACGTATAGCAACTCCATCAGTGGCGTACCATAAGTGGATAAAACATAAAAATCTCAAAATCTAATTTTCTCTATACAAGGAAGTGAAATAGCGACTCCAGAGGCGTACCATTTTTTTTATGGGGGCAAAAATTGAAAAATCACAAAAATTTCAAATATGGTGGCGGAGGCGGTGGTAACATCGGTGGTGACGCCCCATCTCAGGACTCCAACAACGGCGAGGATGGCCAGAATATCAAGATAAATTGCAGTTTTCTGGTAGAAAACAAATACAAAAATGCCTAAAAAAGCGTATAGCGACTCCATCAGGGGCGTACCTTTTTTTTCAAATGGATAAAAAACGAAAATCTCAAAATCTAATATTCTCTATACAAGAAAGCGAAATAGTGACTCCAGAGGCGTACCATTTTTTTTCTGTAGGGGTCAAAATGAAAAAAAATCACAAAAATTGCAGATATGGTGGCGGAGGCGGTGGTTACGCCGGTGGCGAAGCCCCGTCTCACGACTCCACCAACGGCGAGGATGGCCAGAATCCCAAGAAAATTGCATTTTTCTGGTAGAAAACAAACACAAAAATGTCAAAAAAAACGTATAGCTACTCCATCAGTCCATCAAATCTAATTTTCTCTATACAAGAAGGCAAAAAATCGACTCCAGAGGCGTACCATTTTTTTTTCTGTGGGGGTCAAAAATAAAAAATCACAAAAATTGCAGATATGGTGGCGGAGGCGGTGGTTACATCGGTGGCGACGCCCCATCTCAGGACTCCACCAACGGCGAGGATGGCCAGAATATCAAGATAAATTGCAGTTTTCTGGTAGAAAACAAATACAAAAATGTCTAAAAAAGAGTATAGCGACTCCATCAGGGGCGTAACATTTTTTTTTCAAGTAGATTAAGAATGAAAATCTCAAAATCTAATGTTCTCTATACAAGAAAGCGAAATAGCGACTCCAGAGGCGTACCATTTTTTTTTCTGTGGGGGTCAAAAATGAAAAAATCACAAAAATTGCAGATATGATGGCGGAGACAGTGGTTACGCCGGTGGCGAAGCCCCGTATCACGACTCCACCAACGGCGAGGATGGCCAGAATCCCAAGAAAATTGCATTTTTCTGGTAGAAAACAAATACAAAAATGTCAAAAAAAAAACGTATAGCTACTCCATCAGTCCATCAAATCTAATTTTCTCTATACAAGAAGGCAAAAAAGCGACTCCAGAGGCGTACCATTTTTTTCTGTGGGGGTCAAAAATGAAAAAATCACAAAAATCACAAAAATTGCAGATTTGGTGGCGAAGGCGGTGGTTACGCCGGTGGCGAAGCCCCGTCTCACGACTCCACCAACGGCGAGGATGGCCAGAATCCCTAAAAAATTTGCATTTTTCAGGAAGAAAACAAACAAAAATGTCAAAAAAAACGTATAGCTACTCCATAAGTCCATCAAATCTAATTTTCTCCATACAAGAAGGCAAAAAATCGACTCCAGAGGCGTACTATTTTTTTTTTCTGTGGGGGTTAAAAATAAAAAATCACAAAAATCACAAAAATTGCAGATTTATTGGCGAAGGCGGTGGTTACGCCGGTGGCGAAGCCCCGTCTCACGACTCCACCAACGGCGAGGATGGCCAGAATCCCTAAAAAATTTGCATTTTTCAGGAAGAAAACAAACAAAAATGTCAAAAAAAACGTATAGCTACTCCATCAGTCCATCAAATCTAGTTTTCTCTATACAAGAAGGCAAAAAAGCGACTCCAGAGGCGTACTATTTTTTTTCTGTGGGGGTTAAAAATAAAAAATCACAAAAATCACAAAAATTGCAGATTTGGTGGCGAAGGCGGTGGTTACGCCGGTGGCGAAGCCCCGTCTCACGAATCCACCAACGGCGAGGATGGCCAGAATCCCTAAAAAATTTGCATTTTTCAGGAAGAAAACAAACAAAAATGTCAAAAAAAAACGTATAGCTACTCCATCAGTCCATCAAATCTAATTTTCTCTATACAAGAAGGCAAAAAATCGACTCCAGAGGCGTACCATATTTTTTTCTGTGGGGGTCAAAAATAAAAAAATCACAAAAATTGCAGATATGGTGGCGGAGGCGGCGGTTACGCTGGTGGCGACGCCCCCTCGCACGACTCCACCAACGGCGAGGGCGGCTACTCCTACTTGGACACCTCGCGCGCCGACCCGCGTCACTCCGTCGTCCATGCCGGCTTCAATACCGGCGCCGGGTACGTCGTCATCGTGCCGGAGATCGACGGCTGCGAGTGCGACTACAAGTGCGCCGCCTTGGACGAGAAGAGGTCGGAGGTGACTTGTATATGTCCGGCCAGATGGCAGCTCAAGGAGGACAAGAAGACCTGCCAACGTGAGTGGATAATGGCTAAGTAACAATAGATGGACACCGTGATTCATTCATAAATCATTGAAAAGTATACGTCGACAATCCTAAACGCCAAAGTTGGATGAATGAATGAATGAAATCGTGAATGGTGGGGATAGCTTTGCGGAATCATTGTCAGAGAATCGATATTATGCGACTGAATCAGGTGTTGCGGTCGGTGAGTGGAACCTCAGACTAAACAGCAATAGATAGACACCGCGATTTCCTCATGAATCATTGAAACGTATACGCCAACAATCCCAAACACCAAACACGGATGAATGAATGAATTCGCGAATGGTGGGGATTGCTTTGCCGAATCATTGTCAGAGAATCTTTATCCTTCATAGATATATCTTTATATGTAGTTATCTAATAAATCGGAATTTCTATTAATATGTCTGTGCATTGATAAATCAATCCTCACATATTCTAACATAATAATACGTCATTTTGTGACGTCTAATGAGTGAGGTTATTTGATATATTCAATATTATAATCATGCTTTTTATCGACAAGAGTGAGCTCTCAAACAACACCGCAAGTGTACCAAATTTCTACGATTCTACGTACCTGTGAAATATCAGGTTAGGATATTTTTTTGTTATTGTTCTTCACAGATTTGACACTGTTGAACTATATCTATTCACAAACCATATTCATAATCCTAAATAAGTTACTGAAACCCCGAAAACAAAAACGACAAGTGGCATTACTTACAACGATTATCGCTCGTCAACTACAAGTCTTTAAATAATACATATTATAAGATTCTAAATGGAGACATCGTGGATAGACACAATTTCAACACTCAAACACATTTTTATTCACTCAGGACTGCTTGTACAAAGATGACCGTTTATAAAAATAGTTATTCGTTCTGATGCTACGATGCTAATGACTAAACCTGCTTCAATCTTCGATCATCTTCGATCACACGATGATTACGAATACCGATGAGTCGTGAAGGCCGCTTGTGATAAGGCGTTCTTCTCATTCACGGGGTGATTTGAACATCGTCGTTAACAAATTTTTTTATTTTGATATTCACCTTACAATACCTAATGAGTTCATAATTATTAATAATTAATTCCTGAGAATTATGTAGTTGTCGATGTATTATTATGTCATGAATAAGGTTATTTTTTTGTCATGATATATATTTATGCCGAGATGAATACGAAAGAATAGTATGGCAGTACATGAAGGTCCCAATTTGTACCGAATTCCTATCTTTTGCAGCACTAGAAAAGCCGGTAGCTGATGTGCCATATCCAACATGGTTCGTGGTAGTACTCATCGTTACCGTTTTCTGCTTAGTTGTGGCCTTTGGAGCAGTATTTTTCGTTTTATGTAAGTATTCCAACCTTGATAGTTCTTCATTCAATGTCTAACATTATATCCCTTCATTTTTTCCGAACCAACAACAAAATTTGGATCATTAGTCGAACAATTCGACCAAATATAATTTGGTCTGTTAATCTCTCTCATATGTTGTGAAATTGATGATGATCACTTTATTATTGATTCACTGTGACATTTTGGAGGAAATCATCTTACTACAGATTTATTCGAATGATCACAGCCAACCATGAGATGTATAAGTGATGTATACGCCACATCACTTTGTGACATGCGATATCGCATTTGAAGTCACAAACATGTTACCGATACAACGTGGCGATGTGAAAATGTCCGACTCAAGCAACATCACTGTGACGTCGTTCAGACATGAAATGCGACATCACATAAAAAATCACTACCAGGTCACATACAAGTGTACATTTCATATTACAAATACATCACACTGCGACATCGATGATGTGGTCGCCGTACCTGTGATATTCGTGGGATATATAATAATAATAATTATTCAACTTTACGAAGAAAATGTTTATTTTCCGAAAGTAAAAACACATGACACATATATATAGCGATACAAATGTACATTATTCATAAATGATACATAACAAATACACTTACATTATCTCGGGATCTTTCATCCACCTTGTTTTAGATTGTAATATTCCCATCTCAGAGATAATTACAATATTAGGTACCTATTGGGATTGAACTCACCGTCGTTCCTAAATGATTGTATACCTCCAATTTGAAGCTGCTATAATATGTGCTATAAATCATCTCAGATATTTTAACAGAGAATTTGGAAGGAAATAGTCTGAACGGAGCTGGACTCACTCACTGACTGACTGACTGACTGACGTGGCCATGCACAGCTCAACATGGCGTCTGGCGTGTGCGTTCCTTTTGCGCATGTCTGTGTCACACTCACAGGTCACAAAGATTATATCTCATGAGGATATCAATGTGAATTATTTAGTTAACGTCGAAGAGATGTAGTTTGAAGAAGTCGCTGCCACATAACATAGTTTCCTGGTTGCGATGACACCTTGCGACGTTGATATCGAATCTACGTCGATAAGATGTGTTAATGAGATATTGCATTTATGCAAGGTTGTTACATCACACAAATGTTGATGTCACACGATGGTTGGCTGGGTATTCATATTTTTATTTGTAACAATGAGTAGAGAGAATCACCAAACATCTTGAGAAACCAGTATTCCACCTCCTCGATTCACCTACAGACAATCAAGTGTAGATTTTGAGAGATCAAAGTGAAGACGTATGTTTTGCAGATAACCGGTATCAGCAACGAGCGACAGGTATAATGAGAAGAAAGATGCTGTCCAGTCATGAGCTACAACTGGACAGGCTCAGGATGGCATCGGACAGCATGATGACAGAATACAACCCCAATTACGAGTTCGGCGGGATAGTGTACACCCTCAAAGACCTCAAAGATATTCCTAGAGACCAGCTGAGATTGGTCAAGTAAGTTATTCAAACAAACATTCATATTTGTCATAATTAACAACAATCTTTTTTGAATTCGAGTTGAAGGAACTAACTAATGATAATGTTTCTGCTATTTTATTTTGAATTGACTCGGCCGTTACTTGATGGAAATCCATAGCAAATGTGAAAACTTCACGAAAAGATCTCCACAAAATTTTCAGACACACGACATGTTTCGCTAACACAGTAGCTTCGTCAGGTGATCTACTGGTACCACGAGATTTACCATGCACATTTTGTTTTTCTTTTCGGTGCCATATTCAATTTTTATACCAATAAATGGTGCTAAAAATTTCCTTCACAGCCATGCAAGTATAACATGTTAACATTTCCAAATGAAACATTGCCAAAAAAACAAATATCAGTCGTTATAGCTACGGTATCAATACTTCTTCATAGCCATGAATAACACGCTACATGTTCATGCAAAAATAGAAAAATGCATCGAAAAATCAACCATACAAATTGTTCTTTAAATAATCAAGATACTATATATTACCTATAACTATCATTAAGGGTTTTCATTTTGTGTTAGACTTGGTCTTGACATGAGTCCTAGTTTCGTTATATTTTTATGAGAGAGAGAGAGAAAATATTTATTAGGGATATACCCCAAAAGGCCATTGGCCGAAGTCTTTCAGTCCATATTTTTATGATAAAATCAACAATTTATCAATATTCATTTATTCGTTCTTAATATTTGATGGGTTTGTTAATGAATGTACACTCCTCAAACTTTAAATTTGATATCAGAATGCATTCTAGAAACGTGAAAATAATCTGACATATGATTTTATGGCAAGTTAATTTTAGGTAAACGTACGAGAAATTTGTATTCATGATTTTTTGTGCTTAATTCTTCTTTGTGCATAATAATGTAGTGTTGAAGCGGGTCATGAATAACTATGAAGAGATATTGATACTTGTAGTCATGACGACTGACATTATGTTTTTTTACTATCATGGCCTACTACATATGAAAATGTTTTTTTTTGTTTTTCATTGCTGTTTCATGTGAAAATGTCAACGTGTGATACATGGCTGTGAAGCTCTATTCAATGGTATAAAAAACACAAATATGGCGCCCATACGACAAACAGAGGTTACATGCAAGAGCACAAAACGGATTGAACATTATATTTTCCTGAATGAATTCTAGTCTCCTAAGTCTAAACATCGATAAAACCAAATTCTTGACCTTCTCACCAACAATAAGAGAACAACCACTAGAGGAAAACATTTTCATATATACCCCTAACTGCCAAAATTCTATAATTTGCTCCTGTCCACGTATATAAAAAAAAGTGATTCCATGAAATATCTGGGTGTGATGCTTGACCAACATTAACGCTGGGACAAACTTTGTAGACTTTCTCGTGAAAAAATTTAGAAAACTCATTTTAAAATTCTACCAACTCAGAGGCAAACTAAATAAACATTTATTACTAATGACATACGATGCATTAGCTGAATCAGTTTTAAGGTACCTACCGTATTAATGTTTGGGGTGGGTTGAATAAAACACACTTACATAACGCTCAAGTGATACAATACACCTTGCTAAAAATAGTACTGAAAAGAGACAGAAGACATCCAACTGAGAGCTTATACAAGGAGGTTGGTTTATTTAATATCAGAAAATTATACACCCATCACTGTATACTCTATGGACGATGAACTCGCCTCTTACATATTTAATTATTTAACACACATACACGACACCCGAGCAAGATCCGAGAGAACAATTATTAGTGTTCCTTTTTGTGAAAATGTTTATACCCAAAGCAAGTCATATTGGTATTATGTTCATGGATTTGATAATTCCTTACCAATATGAAGTTAGATTTGAGGTGTTTATTGATAATATCAAAAGAAATTTTGAGAGTATTTATCAGATAGTGCTCTTCCAAAGAATATGTATCTGAATTGAATAAATTGATTGATTGATTGATTGATTGATGATGAATCTCTGAAAATAATGAAGATAATATTTCTTAAATTCACATCTTCTTTGGCATTCCTAGGGCTTTGGGCCAAGGCGCTTTCGGCGAGGTCTACCAAGGCTTCTACCGCCAGAGGCCTTGCGACACCGTGGAAATGCCGGTGGCAGTGAAAACCCTGCCGGAAATGTCGACGTCGCAGGCGGAAATGGACTTCCTCATGGAGGCCCTCATCATGTCCAAGTTCAACCATCCGAACATCGTCCACTTCATAGGCGTGTGCTTCGACAAGCATCCCAGGTTCATCGTGCTGGAGCTGCTCGCCGGAGGGGACCTGAAAAATTTCCTGAGGGAGTCCCGGCCTGAACCTGTGAGTACTGTTTCGGTTCGCTAGGTCTCATCGCTCACCAACGGTCTGTTGATAATGTGCCTGTTTTAGTTAGAAATGTCATTTATTTATTCCGGAGTACTTATACAGGGTGAGTCCTGAGGAACTGTGCATACTCCTACCACGAATAGAGGCCACTGAGGGGATCACCGAATGTCCATTTGAAAGTGTCTACAGTGTGTCCCACTTACCATGCTCACCATGGGTATCTTTTTAACGGTGAGAGATACGAGGTCGGTTAAATGACACCAAATGTGGAGTTTGTCAAGGCCAACTATAATGTGAAAAAATATTTTGATAAAATCTATTCGTTTTTGTTTTATACGCAAAAAACAGATTTTGATCATTTTCATGTCTCCTCCGTAACTTCTTTATTTATGAAAATATTCAAATAGGAATTTCACATTTTCATGGCAGTTTTTGAAGTGATTTCGAAAAAAATATGAAATTTATACCAACTCTTCTAGAATTTAAGATATCAGTAGGTACCAACTTTAGTTTTTCAAATGTAGGTCATAACTCACTATGACTTAGTTACAAATAACTTTTTGTTCTCTTACAGATGATATGTCGCAGTAATAAGTTTGTGTTGATAACAACGAAGTTATCGTCATTTATACAAAAAAAAAATTATTTGGAAGCAAGAAAATCATGATCTCCGACCTCAAAAACCCCCACTTACCAATTTTGAATGGAATCGGACCAAATCTTGTCCGCCATCTTGGAGCAGCCATTTTTTTAAATTTCAACTAGAATTCCATCACCGAAATTATGAACACCTGCCAAATTTCAAGTTAATCGGAGTTATGGAATTTTAGTTGAAATTTAAAAAAATGGCTGCTCCAAGATGGCGGACAAGATTTGGTCCGATTCCATTCAAAATTGGTAAGTGGGGGTTTTTGAGGTCGGAGATCATGGTTTTCTTGTTAAAATTTATAAATTCAAGGTGGCGGCTTCCAAATAATTTTTTGTTTCTGTATAAATGACGATAACTTCGTTGTTATCAACACAAAACTATTACTGCGACATATCATCTGTAAGAGAAAAAGAAGTTATTTGTAACTAAGTCATAGTGAGCTATGACCTACATTTGAAAAACTAAAGTTGGTGCTGATATCTCAAATTCTAGAAGAGTTGGTATAAATTTCATATTGTTTTCGAAATCACTTCGAAAAACTGCCATGAGAATGTGAAATTCCTATTTGAATATTTTCATAAATAAAGAAGTTACGGAGGAGACATAAAAATGATCAAAATCTGTTTTTTGCGTATAAAACAAAAACGAATAGATTTTATCAAAATATTTTTTCACATTATAGTTGGCCTTGACAAACTTCACATTTGGTGTCATTTGATCGACCTCGTATCTCTCACCGTTAAAAAGATACCCATGGTGAGCATGGTAAGTGGGACATACTGTTTATAGGGTGAATTATGAGATTTGGCAAAAACATCTTTTTGGTCATAACGGCTCCTTCGATTCGTCTGATTTTTTCATGGAATATTCTGCTACTACTCTCTTATCGACTGACTCATTCAGAATCGGGAAAATCCAGGACCGTTCTTGAAAAATTTAGATAGTTTAGTTTACAGCAAAAAGTTCATCCTGTATATCGTTCTTGTAAACTGTGACAGGGAATTTTCAAGGGTCACAAACAAACATCAAAAATGAAATATTTAGTATTTTCCTCACACGTTCACTGTTGTTTGAAAACAACTATACATTTTATGAAGAAACGAAAATTTGGTAAAAAATTTATTTATTTGGAAATTAATACTTCACAACCAATAAATTCAAAGAAATAAGTGGATACTTCCGTTTTCAATGCTTCAGCTCAATGGAAATCGACATATTATTTTATTTTCAGGCCTGGATTTAGTAATAATTAAATTTCTTGTGGAGGAAAATAATCACCCTGTAGATATTTTTCGAATTAGTGGATGAGGTATATGTGACAATGTTGATGGCCATCGTTATGAATAATTTAATGATTTCAATTCACAGTTTTATCTATTTGATTTGTTTTAACAAGGGGAAGCTTTCGTGACTGTTCTATAATAATATTCTTGTAAATATCAGTGGGATGCAGTCTGGACCAATGAATTAATTAGATTTCTTCGTTATTTGTCGAGCTTTCGAAAATTTTTATTTTCTTTATCAAGACTAACTGAAAACATCGAATGGAACAATAATATTAAAATATAAATGTACATCAATTGAAATTGGTATACTTACAAACATGAAATTCTATGTTTCCTTTTTGTGCTAATTTTATATAGAATTTCATGTTTGTAAGTATACCAATTTCAATTGATGTACATTTATATTTTAATATTATTGTTCCATTCGATGTTTTCAGTTAGTCTTGATAAAGAAAATAAAAATTTTCGAAAGCTCGACAAATAACGAAGAAATCTAATTAATTCATTGGTCCAGACTGCATCCCACTGATATTTACAAGAATATGATTTGTTTTATCCAGTTAATTTGGTCACTTATTTTCCATACTAGAATTATTATCCGCCTTGGTCAGTATAGCTTTTGAAAAATAATTGTGAGTATTCCTTTATTTTCTGTTCGACTATCTTGAATTATTTGAATCGATGATCATTAACTCCATCTACTGATTTGAAAAAGATCTACAGGGTGATTATTACCCTCCACAAAAAAATGGAATGACGGAATCCAGGCCTGGAATTGAAAGAACATGTTGATTTCCATTGGGCTAAAGCATTGAAAATGTGAGTCTTACTTTTATTTGTGAAATTTATGCGTTGCGAAGTAATTATTTTCGAATGAATAAAATTTGTTGTCAAACTTTCGTGATTTATAGTTTTTTGAAAAATTCTATGGAAGTTTGAGGAAATTTTCGATTATTTTATTTTTGATGCTTGTTTGTGTGCTTTGAGAATTCCCTGTCACAGTTTACAAAAACCATATACAGGATCAGCTTTTTGATAAAAACTAAACTATCGAAATTTTTCAAAAACGGTCCTGGATTTTCCCGATTCTGAATAGGTCAGTCAATTAGGGTTTAGTAGAGAAATAATCCATGAAAAAATCAGACGAATCGAAGGAGCCGTTGAAAAGTTATGACCAAAATATGTTTTTGCCAAATCTTATACAGAAGAGAAGAAGAAGACACTTTCTGATGGTCATTACGTTTTCCCCTTAAGGGCCTCTATTCGTAGTAGGAGTATGTACAGTTCCTCATGACTCTCCCTGTATACTTGCATTAATTCATGACTCATTTGAAAAAAGTCATTGCAATCAATTCACTAATTAAATCACTGACTTTATTCATATGATTTTTTTTTTCTCCTCATCGAAGATAAAATATCTGATGTCTTTTTGTTATTTCAGGAGAAAGTCAGTCTTCTCGGCATGAAGGACCTGATTTTGATATCTATAGACGTGGCGAAAGGATGCAAGTATCTGGAAGACAACAGGTTCATCCACAGGGATATAGCGGCGAGGAATTGTTTGCTGACCACGAAGGGACCTGGAAGAGTCGTCAAAATCGCGGATTTCGGCATGTCCAGGGATGTTTATAGGTCAGTAGAATAATTTTTTTTTCAGCAACTGACACAAAAGTCGTCCAGTTTTCGAATAAATTAGGTGTTCCTTGAACCTAGCTCTGAAGAATTTCTCAGTTTGTCCTACATATGTTCCGTCTGAATTAACTCTAAAAGTCGTTTTCGAAGCCTTCATCGATCAGAGTGTACTAGTTTAAGGTATGATTACTACAGAAAAGGCGGCAACGCAATGCTGTTAATGAAATGGATGCCGCCGGAGGCCTTCTCGACGACCGATATTTTGACTAAATTATTCAGATTGATTTCGTAAATTCCCAATTACGATAGTGTGTGTATTTGTTCTCTTATCTACTATGCTGCAAAAAATCTCCAAGTTTGTCCTATATATTTGCCATCAAATTCACCCTCAAATCAAAAGTTTTAGAAGTCTTCTTCGATAGCAATAATTTTGACGCAATTATTCAGATCGATTTCGTGGATCCCTGGTTTTGTTAATGTCTCAATTTGTTCTTTGATCTATCATATTTCAAAATGTGCTTGGTGTTCCTTGAACCTAGCTCAGAAAAATCTCCCAGTTTGTCTTAGATGTGTCCATCAAATTCACCCCCAACTCAACAGTGTTCGAAGCCTTTTCCGATCAGATTATTCTCCAATGCGCTGGGTGTTCCTTGAAACTACCTCCAGAGAATCTCCTAGTCTGTCCTATATGTGTTTCATCAAATTTACCCCGAAATAAACAGGTTTTGAAGCCTTTTCAGATCAGATCATTCTTGTATCAGGTCCGATTACTACAGAAAGAACAAAAAAGCGATGCTCAACAGTGTTAGAAGCCTTTTCCGATCAGATTATTCTCGAATGCGCTGGGTGTTCCTTGAAACTACCTCCAGAGAATCTCCTCGTCTGTCCTATATATGTTTCATCAAATTTACCCCGAAATAAACAGGTTTTGAAGCCTTTTCAGATCAGATAATTCTGGTATCAGGTCCGATTACTACAGAAAGAACAAAAAAGCGATGCTGCCCATAAAATGGATGCCACCGGAGGCCTTTCTCTATGGCAGACATTTTGACGCAATTCAGATCGATTTCGTAAATTCCTGATTATGTTAGTGTGTGTATTTGTTCTCTGATCTTCTATACATAGAATGAGCTAGGTGTTCCTTAAACCTACCTCTAAAGATTCTCCCAGTTTGCCCTACACATGTTCCATCAAATTTATCTCCAAATCAACAGTTTTCCAAACCTCGATCAGAATGTGCTCGTTTCAGGTCCGATTACTACAGGAAGGGCAGCAAAGCCGATCTGGTTTGTGTGTCAATTTGCTCTCTGATCTACCATACTTCCAATGCGCTGGGTGCTCCTTGAACCTACCTCCAAAGAATCTCCCAGTCTGTCCTACATATGTTCCATCTAATTTAACGTCAAGTTATCAGTTTTCGAGGCCATTTTGGATCAGCTTTTGTTACAATTCAAATTTAACTTAGTTGAAAACGGCTGTATCACTTACTTGAAACACATCAACAGTCATTTATTCGGATCAGGTCAATAATAACAATTTGTTACTACATTTTGAAAGTTCATTCTGTGGGTTCCCAGCATTGCTCTCGGTCTTTTGCTGCGAGTGTTGTCTTCAATTGGTACTGGGTATTTTGTCTCACACTGTCATTCCTCTCGGCTCTGCATTCCACACTTTGTTTACCTTCGATCCTGCTATTAGTAGCTAAAACGAAAATAGCACTCTCAGTCTGATATGGGCATGACAAACCATGATTGTGGTAGAAAGGTACTCACCTCAGGGTTTTGTTCGCTCTCATTTTTCAATGGATTTATATCTGGAAACCAGGTAGTTATTTGGGTATGATTATGCTTCTTGTCTTCTCTCCTGGCTGAAGATAATCCGAAATGATGATATTTTATTATCATTTTAGTACTATGGAGCTGCATGTCGTGTCATTTACGTAATGTTCGTTACACCTAAATTGCTTTGAGTCTGGAATACTTACTACTTGTAAGTTGTAATTCAGCCCTGTTCCTAATAGGTCCCTTGGAAATAAGATATTGAGTGATATTATCTAGTGGAGGGTTAATTTCACTGCTTATATAATCTTTGTGTATTGTCAAATCTGTATCAGCTGAGTGTCGACTGTCGACATCGTCACCTGTCACCTGACACCTGACACCTTTGGTCTAATGGCACGAAACACGGAACACACAGTGGTGTGAATCGACCGTCGACTTATTACCATTTAGTCTCCTCAACTTCGGGTCAATTCGGTGTTACACGGCGGAGTACTTATCGTTGGCTTACAGTATTTTATCAAGGTCGGTGGTTTTGGTCATGACGTCATAGTGAGTTACTGGCGTGTCCAACATCGAGTTGGTTGTCAGTTATACGGTTGGCCAGCAATAAGTTGTGAATCGATTCCCAAAGCCTGATAGTAAAGTTCTGAGACTATTCGTCAAGTGAGTCGACCCTTGGTTGATACCGCGGTGGTACTTCGGTATTCGTCGCTATTATCTCAGGTATCTTCTTTCTCCTTCGACTCCTTGTTTCCTGGACTCGAAGAGACCTCTTCTTTCGCTTTCGACTCTTTGTTTTCTGGACTCGTATTCTGTGTTCTATGTCAATGTGTATGAACGCTACTGCGCAGGCCTGGGTGGTTTTAAGTTCGTAGCCGTTCGTAACGAATATCGGTTTGTAACGATATTTTCCCGGGTTTTCTCAGTGTCATAACGGCGTCTCAAGATGCCTTACATCGTAACAAAGTGATGTAATTTTGCTTGGAAATGGGGAGTTATACCCAATATGTTATTTGAATTTCGTATTTTTTGTGTACACCGTCACGATGGGAAATGACGTGCTTATGGGGTACAAAAAAATGTGTGAGGAGGACCTACAAGTCTCCAGCCTGAAAAGGGCACCATTTTGTAAAGGTGTGTCTGGTTGCATTGGTGCCGAGGAAGAGCTCCATAATTTGTACCGTGTTTGTGAACGGAATCCACAGCTAGTGGGATTATTTGGAGGTCTTCAACTCGCAACATTTCGTTTCCTCTGTTTTGGAAAGAAATACCCTATAAGGGGATTAATAGCATCATTCAACCGGCCTACCCAATAGCCCGCCCACCATCCAAGGTATGTTGTACTACCATGTGCCATGCAGGTTCACTAGGCTTGGAATATAATCCTGTAAGTGATATTTCTTTTGTTTTAGGGCTTCTTCTTTTCCCTTCTTTTTTTTATCTACTTCACTTTGGTCCTTTTGCTTCTTCTCTTGTCGATGTTCCTGCAAGATGTCTTCAGTTGTCCCTGTTATCAGACTGCTGTCTGGTGCTGCATTATGCCAAGCATTACACTGACCCAGTAGTTCCTGTCTAAACCACCTGACACCAGTAGCACTGCATTGTCTGGAAGCAGCCCCAGCCTGGGAAGTCACCCATTATAGTATCACCAGCTATATGTATGTACTTATGGTGTAGCTGCCAGAAAATACCTGCAATCTGGTAAGACTGCTCCATTTTTATCTCCATTCAAGAATTACCTACCACCAAGGATTTTCAAGTCGAACATTTCGCCTGCGGATCTATGTACTGTATGACCATGTATAATGTTGACCTCAATAATTAATAGGGGGTATCATATTGCTGAATTTCCACTCACCACTGTAAACCATAGTGATCACATTGGTAAATTATTATTGTTCTGGAAGAAACCAGACTTCAACATAATTGTGTCTAAATTCATGACTAAGGGGGGTCATTATATTTCATAAGGTATATATGTTGAGGTACCTACATAATATTTTGTTGCTATTTACTTGATGGAAATGTTTTTCTAGTGATGTCTACATAGTTAGCAGCTTATGTCATAACTACCATATTCAACCATATTCAGTAAAGGATACAGTCAAATTTATGGCTATAATTCCACCCTACCAACCTTACTCACCCCAGTGTCCCACTGAGCTAGTCAGTGTTTGATCTCTACTGTTTATAATCAGGCACTTTAAACACTTATTTTTGTAACGAAAAATCTATCTCAATTTGCACATCCTTTAATTGAGGGTGAACAGCCTAAACCAATTTGTTAACAACTCTGGTAACAAAGCAGCTATAAACAATGGAACCCGTTACAAATGGCGCCCAAAAATTTCAGTTGGCACTAGGGTGGATATTGTTGAGTAATTTTTGAATTTTCATTGGTGGTAGTTTAAATTCAGTACATTTTTTTTTCCATTTATTTTTATTTAATATCACAGGATATTCTTGAAATATTATATAGTGAAAACAAAAATGGAAATATTTTTCTAGTTATTTAAAAAAAAAAAAAAAAAAAAAAAAAAAAAGAAAAACTTGAAATTTTCATATAGGTACTTACAGGGTGGACACTTATAAAAAGCTGGTATTTTTTTTATGGTAAACTTGGTGGCTTTAGAATGAGTTTCCGGCATTCTTAGCAAATGCACACTATTATTTTTTCTCATTGCTGGTAATACAGGGTAGAACAAGTGATAATAGCAGCATTCTAATTTTTATTCCTCTAACATATTTCTTCAATATGAGATAATTTCATGCTTTCTTGTAATAAGAATCATTATTGATATATTGAATTACTTGCTGTTGATTACATAGGGTCAGCCCTAGTGAATTTAAAAATAAATATCAAGTTATTTTTATTCACACTACACCTAAAGGGTGTTATATTATCAAGTGCCAAATCAGTTTATTTGACTTGATATATATATTTGTTTTCTTCCCTTTCTTAATGAGTTAAGAACTGCTATTATCTACTCTGACATCTGTATTTCAATTATTTTTTCTTTTCAGTGCAGGCATTACTGATAATACTTTTTTTCCTCACTCTGCTCTCACATGACAGGTTTACCTACCTGAAGTTTTTTTTAATACCAATACTTGTGTATTTTTTTTTTTTTTTTTTGACTGTATTATTGACACAGGTTTTCGGAGAACTATACAGGGTGATCCAGCTGGGTGTTGTTTCGTGGCTGTTAGCTGGTTTAT